AAGTGACCTAAACCACCAATACCGATAATACCAACAGTCTTACCCTTAGCATTTTCACCAAGGTTTCTGACTAATGGGGAGAAGACAGTTAAACCAGCACACATCAATGGTGCAGCAACTGCGGATTCCAATTCATCTGGAATTGGGAAAACATATTGTTCGTGTGCAATCGAGTGAGAAGAATAACCACCCTGGGAGATGTAGCCAGTATCATAATCCTTAGCATTGTAGGTACTGACCTTTTTAGTACAGTATTGCTCATTATCACTTTGACATCTTGAACAATCCATACAAGACTTGGAACAGGCACCAATTCCGCATCTGTCACCAACCTTGATTTCCTTAACGTCCTTACCTACGGCAATAACCTTACCAATAATTTCGTGACCAACAACAAGATCGTCTCTGTTGAGTGGCTTCCATGCACCCTTGATGGTGTGAATATCACTACCACATAAACCACAGCAGATATTTTCCAACACGACATCATGCGATGCTAACTCTTTTGGCTTGTATTCAACCAACTTAGGTTTGTTCCAGTTCTCTGGCTTATCTACAGCAAATCCTTTGAAATATTGTGGAAGAGTCATTTTGTACGTTTATAATTATGTTCTATGGTAATTATTTAATTTTACCTACATTTATTGCGACCAACGTTCCCTATATATCCATTTTCTATCAACGTTTATCTTTCGCTAGTCGTGGGGCTCCTCCCGCCACACAGGTTTGGGATATTCCAGATATAGTTACCGATTGGTCTTTATGCGAATATACTGTATATACTTCCGTAAAACAGACACCCCAACAATTAATCCTCCGAAACAAACGCTGCGTAATAGCTGCTATCTCTTCTATATTAACCCTAGCCTTATCTTTGAACATTTATTCTATTGTACAATTTACTCTGTATACTTGACTCTCGTGGGAGTTTTCTCTAGTCCTCCACCAATTAAACCCCACCAGAGCCTAGATCGTGCTGAAAGAACGGTGTAACGCGATGATTTCAAAGCATATGTCGTATGTCGTACTTTGACCATGTCGTCAAACTGTTCGCTGCAATTTGCACTTCGTACGCCGGATCGCGTATTTACTACAAATTGTTGCAATCATTAAATCATATAACAATATGACACAAAAGCAATTTCAATATAACAACTAACGTCTATTTTTTTTGGAAAATAGGGAACAAGTATAAGGAAATTTTTTTTATATGGAAGCTAATTAAAGAAGCATATTTTTTTGTTCAAAGGATTATTGTTAAGACATATTTATTAATCAATTAAGAGACGATATATTGATAGGTGTTAAAAATTGTTGCTTCTTGAGATGGTTTTATACAAGCGAAAACAGGTTACGTTTATAAGGGCGCCAGAGGTGCCCGGCGATTTAAACACGGAGGTTTTTCATATACCGGCTACAAAGGAGTGGTTTCTCACGTATGAGGACTATTTGCAAAGAATGGATTATTATCATCGGAAAAAATTCGTATGTGAAATCACTGGGAACTCATGTTTGACGTTTTTCCAGGCAACAGAGAGTGAAGCCAAAGAAATACAGGAGGTAGAAAAGAATTTCCCTGAGGCTTTGAAAGAGCACATATTGAGGTTTTTGCAGTTCAACCGTATTACGCGGTTGGATCAGTTGGTAGACAAGGTTTACCTGGTATTCAAGAACGATTATTTTCCTGGAGAGACGATAATCTTGAAAGGGTCGATACTTAATGGACAAGCAGAATCGGGAACAAGGCAACGGGGTACCATCAAGGAAAAGATCCAATACAGCAACCCATCTGATGGGTTATTGACGAAATATCTTGTTGTCCGAGCAAACGACCAAAAGCAAGCGATAGTCATAAACGAAAAAATCTCGCGGGACAGAAACCACTTCACGAAATGGCTTATTAAAGCATTTATCAAATTAACAATGACCAGATCTCACAAAGTGGGTGCTCCGTGGGTGGTGAAAAATAAGTTTGCTAAGAAATACAGAATCAATCAAAAATATCCGGATGATTTAGTGCATTTCCAATCCTCTACTCCAAGTGGTGATATTATCTATGAAGGCGATGAGTTACCTTCTGCGGTAGCGGATGCTCCTAATGGATACCGTAAATTGATCAAGAAATCTGCGGCTCCTTCGTCTAAGAATTTAAAGAAGAAGGCTGCTTTGAATAGCATATTAGATGAACCACCACCAGTAACAGCCCAGGAAGACGATATAAAGAGGAGACTTCCGCCTCATCATATGCCTGATATTTTGTCAGAGGCCGACGAAGAAATAAACAAATCGAGTCCTCAACCGGCGTACCCAACGTCTAAGAAACTGACGGTCAGCGATTTAAATCTTAAATTTAATTTACAATATTCGAAACCTATTCCCGAAGTGCTAAATGTCCCAGAAAATGCTAAGAGCTGGAATGGGCATTTGATCCAAAAGCACAAAGAAGAACAGAAGACTGATGAAAGATTAGACCCAGAATTAGGACTGGAGATTAAGCGCCTTGGAATCAGAAGCGTAAAATCAATACAGGATGCGTTGGAATCCTGGGTCTTTTTAAACGTGTATCATACGGTTTTAAAATTCGACACATTCACATTTGATGATTTTATATACGCTATGGGTTGGACTCATGACCAATTTGAGAAGATTGGTAGATGCGAACTATTGGACGAAATATGGTGTGCTGTTCTTGGTGCAATAGTATCAAATGAAGCACCTAAAAACAAGTCCTTGAAATTGGATAGCGATGTCATATATGGGTTACAAATAACGTTACCCCCGGAAAATTCGTATATTAACTCTCCTTCAAAGGATGATAACGATGTTGGTATTGAAGAAAGAGGTTCTGATTCCGACAACGAAGAAAATATTTTGAAAAGTGAAGATGAAGCTGATAATGATGAGAGTCATGAATCGTTGGAAATGACTAATGGCAACAAAGATGACGCCAAAATTAAAACCGAACAAGGAGTAAAACTCGATGATGAGAATGATGGCGATGATGAAGAAGAAGAAGAAGAAGAAGATAATGATGAAAATAATGAAAATGGGGATAGTCTAAACGAAGATGATGATCGTGAACACAATGCATATATTGTGATGAATTACCGTAATATTCCATGGCACGAGCGTCTTCGTAAAAGAAATTTCAGAGACGGAAATTGGCAGTGTATTTTACTTGGTGTGTTATCGTTAGTTGAGTACGTTCCTGCTTTCAAGCCGATTATTAATAAGGTGTACCGCATATTGGCGCCGGTTGATATGCCAGCAACTACTAGTACTGTAATGAATCAATTTTACGATGATTTAGATATTGATTTGAGATTGCAAGTTTTGAACATACTTGTCTCGTTACTTATGAATGGCACACAAGTTAGAAATTACATTGATGAATGCTTGGATTCATCTACTGTTTTAAGACGTAATAGGTTAGACAATATAAGAGACTATAAGGTTGCGTACGATTTGGCGCAAAAGTTACATGTTGAAATTCATGAGAAGTTAACAGATGCTAAAGAAGCAACGGAAAATGCTAAGTCTAAGTCCAAATCCAAGTCTAAGAATAAGCTGAAGGGAAAAGATTCTCAATCTACTCCTAACCCTGATTCAAATAAAAGAAGAATGCCAAGACTTAACTTACAAGCATTTGAAATGTCTGAACAGGAGAGTAAATTAGCTGAAAGTGATAAAGGATTTAAAGATTTATGTGACCAAAGAAAGGAAACATTGCTCAGCATTGAAAAATATAAACAAGCAAAGCGCCAACTTGAAAAGCAGTTAAATGAAATAGATTGTCAAAGAGTCAAGTTATTAGGGAAGGATCGTTTATATAATAGATATTGGTGGTTTGAAAACAACGGTCTTCCAACCTTGCACAGTAATACGAATGATGTCGATGACAATGATGATGATGACAATGCAGCTCCAAATATGAATAATGATGAAGACGATGAGATTGTTGAAGACGAAAATGCTGTTTTGGATGAAACTTATCTAATGGGGAAATTATGGGTTCAAGGGCCTTCAGATGATGACTTGAGAATACATTTTGGGTCAAGCTTAGAAGATGTTGATAAATACCATAATTTGTACTTGAATTATGAACAAGAGTTGGAAAAGTTTTATAAATGCAATAATGATCAAGGTGAATCTGGTGAAGATTCCAAACAGAGTATTAAAGAGCCATTCAAGCAAATGGATTTCAATAAATTACCTCTTGGTTTCCGTAGTATGAGTTCGGAAATGTTTGGCTTATCATTTGAGTCTAACCAGGTTACAAGGACTTTGGAAGACTCGATTGAAAAAGATATAGTTATCGACCACTTGGGAGGTTTAAGTGTTACATCATTAACTAATTACTTAACTCCATTACAGCGTAAGATCCTAGAAGAAAATCCAGATCCGTTATTTAGTGGATCTTATTGGAGGTTCTATGACAAACCAGAACAGGTAACAAAATTGATTGAATGGTTAAATCCTTGGGGTGAGCGTGAATCTCTGTTACGTAAAGAGTTATTAATCGTTAAAGAAGCTATTGTTCAAAGTATGGCAGCTAGAAGAAAGGCTTTATCTTTGGATCAGCAAGAGGCCAAAGAATTAGAGCTAGAAAATAATATCCGTCAAATCACTGAAAAGCTTAAATCTTTAGGAAAAGATGTGAACTCTTTATCTAACCTAAACGAAGAAGGCGTCGGAAAAGATGATACAGAAGAAAATGATGACGAAAATGATGAGGATGAAGATGAACTAAGATTAGGACGTAACAAGCGTTTACGGAACCAACCTCTTCCAACAAAGAGACAAAAAACTAAATCTTTCTCTGATGTAATAGGTAGCGACAATGTGAATGACTTATCCAAAGTATACACGGACTTGTTGAATGAATTACAAGAATCCAAAGAGGAAAAAGAATTATCTCGAGTGTTAGAGTGGGTTAATTCCAAGGCCATTGATAAATTTGATAGGTCACTTTATGAAGGAGGCGATAGGTCTAAAACTAAAACTAAATCGAACAAATAATAGTGTAAATATCGTGTATTATAAATTACTTTGTATCATTAAATTAAATTGTTAATATATAATAGTCAATATCTCGTTTTTTTCTTATTATGTTCATAATCCCCACTAGGTCTCTTATTATCTAGTCTCTTACTTCTGGCAATATCTGCTAATTCCTTTAATTTGTTTTCTTTTTCATGCTGTTCCTTGATAGCTAGTTGCTTTAACATTTCACTCCTAATTTTAATTTCTTCCCTGGCTTGTTTATCGGCCGTTTCTAAAGCCTGAGACAACTCACCAAATTTCTCTAAATTTACATCATTGGTGGTTGATTCTGAACCTCCATTTGCAGCAATCATCCTTTTATCTAATGATATAGTAAAACCTTGATTATTCTTCCAATTAGATATAGCCGACGGGATTTGCCATTTCGCCTGATCTTCTTTTGTTAATTTGCTAGTTTGTTCATTATTACTGCTCTTCAATAATGGTGGAGGTGGAGATGGGTTCTTATGTCTATTTTTCCGCAATTTGAACTTAGGAGGTAACATTGGATCTTCTTGATAGTTTCTTATTTGTATAATACGTTCCCTGCCTCTTTCGTCATCACTTCCTTCTGAATCTTTTACCACGTTATTACTTGTATATTTTATGTATGTTACATCGTCTTTCTTGTTATTAGTAGTTTCATTTATCCCCATTTTTTCATTCATTATCTTATTAATCGTAGCTCTCGTATCTTCGACACATTCTTTCAATGAATCATCCGGACATGTTTCAATCGTGTATCTAGGGAAATGATGTTTTAAGTTTGGAAACTTTACTTTCAATGGTATAGTATCCTCATATGATGATTGAACCTTTCTTGAGTTGTTATTATATGATGCAATAGTTAAATTGTAATTCAAAGTCCCATCAGGGTTTAAATGTAATTGGGATATAGTAGTTTCTGAATTATTAGGGTTGTGTATTACGTTTCTGTCAGATTTGTTTTCTGGCAATTTTATAAGCTGATTTGACCTTTCGTGTAGGCCAGCCTTCTTTAGCGAAATCCTTGACGAAGGTTCAAGTGATGAGTGTTTAGGCTTGGGTAGTAACGAACTGAACATATTACAATACCTTAACAAGTTAAACTATAGTTAGGTAAATTCTAAATAATCAAATTAATCTGTGATGATATGTACTGCATATAAAAGTAAGTCTAAGATAGTATTTAATACCTAGAAAATTCCATACTTCTGACAAGTTGCAAAGACCCAGAGGAAGAACTTGTTGATCTTTATTGGTTGCCTCTTGTCTTCATTTACAAATGAATCGAACTGTAGTTCTTCATCTGTAACTCTTTTTACCCCACCGAGATAATTGAAACTCTTGTAGAAAAGATACAATATTCTTTGTTTGATTGATAAAGGTACAGTAGCATGCTCATTCTCAGTGTCATAATGGCTACTATATTTAGTTAGCCTGGTGACTTCTGAAGCTATTTCAGTATCCGAAGAATCTTGGAAATAAAAGAACTTATCACGATAAGTCATCATGTATTGCGGATAATCAGTTATAATTCCATATTCTGAAATGTGAGCAATTCTACCTATGTTCATCAAATATTCGAACTGGTCAATTGTATTGATGGTCCACATATAAAGCTTCATACGTTGAGATTTCAACCGAGGAATAAATTTTGTCAAAAACCTCGTAGACCATGTCAGTAGGTATATAATGGACACACCTGTTGCTTTGAACCTTACAGACCCATCTTTAGGTAAGGAATCCACATACAAATTGTAGTTCATATAATGAAGCGAGTCCTTCCAGGAAACAGAGATATGAAAAATGTCAAATTGTCCATATCCCAAAACATTCTTGGAACCATTTCCAAAAACGTCCTGGAAGTACTTGTCTTGATTCAAAAACTTGATAATACCAAGATCCCATATGCCCAAAATGAGTCTATGTAACCACCATCCAATATCATTGATCACCTTCAATAAATCCTTTATCAAATACTTGACTAATTTTGCAGGGTTCAATTTCTTAATGTCCAACATCAACTTGTGCTCATTTGAGTTGTCATGAGTCTTAATGTAGTGAGCAAACCACTCTAGCACATCCTTGAAGGTCAATAATCTTTCACCTGTCTCAATAGTTTGCAAGTCTTTGATTTCATCGTAAGTGGAGTCCAATATGTCAAAATCTGCGACTTCGCCGTTGGGACCACAAAATACTCTTTTTGTATTGTTGTCATGAGATATTACTAATACATCATCCCTAGTAATCCATAAGTCTGTTTCTATCAATGTAGCACCAGTTTCGAAGCACTTATCGAAAGATTTAAGAGTATTCTCAGTATATTTACCTTTGAACCCTCTATGTCCGCATACGAGGGCAGTTTCACTCATTTTTGTATTATTGACTTGATATCAATTTTCCTAAATTAGAGATAGGTGGGCGATTAGAGTTATTCGTAACGATCGTGTAAGCTAACCTTATGGGCCGTAACATTCAATTTAGTTCTCATAGAGAAAGAAGAATAAATATATATTTAGCATGATATTTTAATTTATTATCAAACTACTCCACGTTCGCCTAGCGCACTCGTGACAACCGATGCTACAATCTAGAATTGAATCGAAAATACTGAAATTGTATTCTATAGACTAAGTGTATCTATAACTTGTTCGATGGTTCTGATGAATCCGAAGCTTGATCTATAACCATTTTGATTAACAGAAAAGCGATTGACTCCTTACTTGGGAGTAATAAGCCTTCTGGATTAGATGCATGATCGTTAGTCCCGTAGATCAATGTCTTAATAAATTCAACGTCGAACCATCTTGCATCTGCCAATTCTCTATCATGGCCCAAATGAATAACTTCATTAACGCCATTGAATTCGACCACAGCAAGACATCCAATCATCAAGTTACCAGGGAAAGGCCACGGTTGAGTCAGGACAATATTTATGTCCGAACAAACAACACCAGTTTCTTCCCAAATTTCTCTCTTTGTAGCAACTTCAACAGTTTCAGAAGGTTCCATAAACCCAGCAGTACATGCATAAAGCTTCGTGTGGGCGTATCGCTTAGCTAGCGATAGCAACACTTTAGATCTGTCTGTGTTGGTGATTGCAGTAATAACTACTGCATCTGTTCTTGGAAACGAGACATTAGAAACAGTGGCATTTCTAACGGGACACGTATACTGGATTTCATCGTTTTCATTCTTTCCCTCGGTCTTTTCGTTGGTACATTTCAACTTACCACCAGCATGAATAGGGATGACTTTAGAACCACACCCAGGACAAAACCTGTTTCTGGATAACCAGTCCAAAAACATCTTTCCGTGAGAATACAATGCAGCTTCTTTTGGAGAGAACCCAAGATAATGTTTTCTAGAGTGACTGAAAATTAAGTTCGCCTTGTCAATGCCATTGGCTTCAGACACATGATTGATAATCGTACTTTGTAACTCAGGAGATTGTGATAAATCCACCGCGTAGTATGGAATACCCTGGTACCTTCCCTGGAAGTCCAAGAATTTTTCTTCAGCTCCGTTATCCGGGTCTTCCACTGATTTTAAGCTCAGTAAATTCAAACCAACACTTTCATCTTCTAACCCCAAAAATAAGAATGTTGGCTTGTTATTATCACGTAACTCTGGATCTTGATCCTTGTTACCACTGCTCCACTCCTCGACTGTATTTTGCCACGATTCAAGTGATAATATGCCCTTTTTCACGGATTCTTTTGCTCCCAATTGATTATCTCCATTCGTCAACATAATCAATTTCTCACCACCATCTTTGTTTATAAGTGGATTGGTCTTGTCGAAGAAAATGAATCTAGTTGAATCATGAGCAACACTATTACTAATAAAGTCACCATCCTCTCTTAAAAACGAAACTCTGTTAACGATCTCTGCTCCGAAATATGAGCTATGATCTTGCCCATGTATAGGATTTAACACGTTACTCGACATCTTGTAATAACTATCTTGTTTTAACTTACTGATTGATGATTGAAATCGAACCGATAGTCTTAGTATTTTGGTAAATACGCCCATATTTCTTCTTTATCAGAATTTTATCACTTATACCGACGCAATTTATATACACGACACAGTATTCTTATCGGGCTAATGACCGGGCCCATGTTAAAACGTACAATAATACGCTAATTAAACCCTTTAGGTATGAAGAGTTACTATTTAAGGATGAAATGGATTCGAATATAGCTACTCAAGTGTTCTGTTAAAAGAAAGACCTCAAAATTTGGTGAATATCTGGTCTTCACAGACTTCTGATAATCAACAGCCCAAAATCACACGCAAAATATTACAAATGAATCAATTATGGAGAATTAGAATTAGCCCAAATATATATTAGCCTCTAAAATACATATCTATTTACACGATGAAATGCCCTTTGAAAAATTATGTACAAAATGTTCAATGATATCTTCTGAATATGTTAGTTAAATTTCAACTATGATAAGGAAATAGGAAAGCATGTGAATATCAGATAAATAAGATCTTTTCCTCAATATGAAAACTAGGAAGTCTAACGTCTGAAAATCTTTGTGAATCATCATTAAATATGCTTTTTGTTCCAACTTAAAAATATACATACATTAAATGTTTTGTTGTTTGTCACAAAATATGTGGACATCAATAATATTGAACCCAATATAATATCTAAGTTAAAGTTAGTATTGATTTGTAAAAATAAATCATTATGCATTTCTGAAGTGTTTCTTATGTGTCAGTTAATTTGTAGATGTTTTCGTCAATGACATTTGTCTAGGAAGTCAAGCGTTATAAAATCTAAGAAAATCATCATTATAGAAACATATCAGAAGCTGAGAATAAATTTGAACATACGGTTTGGAAATGAATAAATTACAATAATAAAATTTGTTTAACCCAATGGGATACCCTTCTTAATGACCTTAGGTAACCCTTTAATCCACGACTTACCAGTCTTTTTGTCAATAATAACGAAGACTCTACCAGATTGTCTCATCCTACCGGTTCTTCCAACACGATGAACTAAATCAACCGATGTATTTGGTAAATCCATTAAGATAACATTCTTAATGCCAATGAAGTTCAACCCTCTAGCAAGCAAATCAGTAGTAATCAAAACTTTGATTTTACTACCGTCGAGATCTTCTTCTAATAACTCAGCTGGTTTCAAAAATGGTTCGATCTTAGCTAACCTATCGTCAGCACTATCAGCACCAGTTATCCCAATAATATCCTCTTCTCTGTGACCAAATTTTTCAATTAAAGTATCTGCTAACGGCTGAACGTCTCGCTTTTCGTTGACAAATACTAAAATACGCTTGACATAGCCTTGTTCAGTACCGTCATTATGAATAGCATACATTGCTTGAGCAAGACATCTGGTCTTAGAACCATTGTATGGTGATAATTGTGCATCAATAACCTTAAGATTAATTTGCTTTGGAATCTTGTGTAAGGAAGGTGTCACTATGTTGATGATCGAAAATTCGTCAGGGAACATCTTGCTAAGAGTTTTTTTGAACTCTTTTGGAATAGTCGCTGAACAAAAGATCAAATCCTTACATTTGGATAATCTACGGATGACAGACGTTGTGTCTACAATCCATGATTTATCCATTAAGGTATCGGCTTCGTCAACAACACAGTACTCCACATAGTTAAATAGTCTAAATGGACGACTAACGTTGTTTAATTTAGCAAGACCTTGGATCTTAGCCGGCGTAGTGACTAAGACATCAATTCTTTTTCTTCCAGCATCGAAAAGTCTCTGATGAGAATCACCAGATCCCCATTTCACAATATTTAAGTTTAACGAAGATTGGTTCTCAGGTAATGAAAGGAATCTTGCATATTCAGGATCTTGCAAGATCTTTTTGTCAACACTAGCCTCCAAATCAATGGGAGCTTTGGATGCACGTTTAAGTGAGTCGTATACTTGCTCAACCAATTCATGCGTTGGCAACAAAATAACCGATCTAATGATCGACGTCTTCTTCGATTCAAGATAGCTCTGCTCAGACATATTGAAGACTCTCATGTCCTCTTCCTTTAACTTACTGAGTAGTGGCGCCAAATAGGCCCAAGTTTTACCAGACCCTGTTTCAGCAGCAATCGTGAAAACCTTCAACCTATTCATCTCGTTGGATTTCTTCAAATCCTCCAAAATCTCCAGCCCTGATACCTTTTTGTCTGTACCTTTTTTTTCCGTATTAACATTACGAAGTCTCGGTTGGTTAATCTTCCTAATAGCAGCTATTTGTACGGGAGATGGTTTAATTTCCAATTCCTCCTTACTTTTAATATAAGTACTTTTCAAATTGTACCCATGTTTAATCTCCTCGATCATCGCCGATCTAACGGTTGGAAATATCCTTAAAGAGTCGAACGATGTAATATTCTTTATGACGTTGCTCGACATCTCCTTGAGTTTATTTTCCGGCTGATCCAACCCAGAAAAATTCCCAAAGGAAAATAATCTGGGTTGTGTCTTGGGAGCTTCTAGCGTTTTACCTAGCTTCGATCTAATGACTTGGCCAGGTTTGTGGTTAGCTTTTTTTTTAAACGATCTTGATCTTTTAGAATGGTGTCGAATAAAACTAATTACCGGTCGTTGAATCATTGTGTCCCGCATGACTCTTACAATAGGATTAATTGCTCCTATTTTCAAAGTCATGTTGTATTAGTCTCAATAAATCATCGATAAAAACGTTAAGATAAATATTATATATGAAAAATTTTCCAAATTTATACTGCTAATAGCGAGACTAAATTTTTTTGGTGAAGAAAATGGGTCGTGTGAAATTGACGAATATTTTTGAAAAATTTCAACAGTTATAATCAACGATTTGTTAGGTTTACACAAGACTAAAGTAGCTGTATCAGCATCTTATAGAATGTTAAAATTGTCGTTTGATACGTTGTCTAGGACAGCAAGTAGACAGGTTCCAACAAATGTTATAAGATCATTTAGTGGATCCGCATATGTGTTTGCAAAGGCAGCTCCAAAACTGAAAGATGGTAAGAAAAAGGCCAAACAAGGGTTCAAGAACAAAGGAGCAGAATCTAAGACTGCAAAGGTCAAGAAGGGTGGTATGACTCACTTGAAGTTTAAGGATGCTGTTCGTTCATTGAAGTTTGAAAAGTCGGCCACAGATTTCACACAATTGAATATCAAAGATATATCCTACGGGTCATTGAAGTCGATCACATCCACTGTTGTCAAGTATAACGATTATACCGAAAAGGCTTTACAAGACCTTGATTCATTTAAAAAGTACCAGTATCATGAATTATTCAGCAAGCCTGTTTCCATGGTGTCTAACAATACATTGAAGCTCGATGAACAATTTATATCAAAGTTGGAATCTCCTAGTAAAGACAATAGATTGTGTTTATTAGGTGAAAAGGGTGTAGGAAAGTCGGTGTTACTTTCTCAGGCTAAGGCGTTAGCTATTTCTAAATACGACAAGGATGTAATCCTTTTACATTTGGACCACCCACAAAAACTTATTGAAGGTTCTAGTGACTACATCTACAACAAAAGAATAGAGAAATATCAACAGCCAATGTTTACCAAGAGGTGGATCAAGAAGTTACGTGCTGCTAACGAAGAGATATTCAAGAAGTTGCCATTAACCAGAGATATCTCTTTCACCGCTAAGAAGAAGGAATACAACTTGAAGAAGGGCGAAAATACCTTGTATGATTTCATCTTATATAACCATGATTTCGGAAAAGTGGCTCCAACCTCAGCATTTACCTTTTTGGTTGAGGAAATCATGCATCATTCTAAGGAAGTTCCTGTTCTTGTCTCGATTGATGATTTCAATGCATTAACAAGTGAAACATTGACTAAATATCGTCACACAGACTTTGAGCCAATTCACTTTACTGATTTCGAAATGGGTAGCTTTATTTTGAAATTAGCAAGCGGTGAGTTAAGTTTTGCCAAGGGTGGTGTCTTATTAGCTGAATCTAAAGATATTGCTTATGGACACACCTTACCAGTTGGTTTAGGTATCGAGCAATACGATCCATACTACAAGCAACATCAATGTGACTACGAAGTTGCCAACAGCTTATTACAGAATGGCGGTGTGTCCTCTATGACCGTTGAAAACCTCACTAAGGATCAATGCAGAGAACTTTACAACTTTTGGGATGCCACTGGTGTTTTAAGGGTTAGAGAATATCCAACAAATGAAGACTATAAGACATCTGAGCAAATTGCAGATGAACAAGCTGCCAGAAGATCGGGTGAAGAAGAAGAGAAATACGTTTACGATCCTGAAGAACAATTTGAAAAATTGGTTCAAAATAACTTCACCATTTCTTCAGGTAACCCAGGTCACTTGATTAAAACCACCACTTTATCATATTAAGCGATATGTCTGTACAAAACAAAATAGTTATCGTTATGTAAATAGAAAATACAATACACATTTATCAAATTGAATAATTTTCATTAATTATTAAAGAGATCTAAAATACAAGAATATAGAATAGAAATGATGATAATGACAATGGTAATGACAATAATATCTTTAAAGGATGTTTCTTACGATTAAGTGAATAACGTATCTTCTTCTCTCAAATATTCACCAATATCTCCTTGTCTGAATGCAACAATACCAGTTGGCTGTAATGCCCTAGCTTCGTTAGTCGACTTAGCACTCACTCCAAACCCTAAAGGCACATCGTTCATCGAATAAACTATCACACCCGCATGCTCTGGAATGTCATCGGACATTCTACCAATATGGGCTTTCAATACATGGTTCCCGTATAAGAAAGGCATCTCACCATTCGTCTTAATCCAGACCTTAAACTTTGCATATTGCGCCAAGTATGGTAAAGAAGTGATGTGCAATCTGAACTTCCCAGTCTTAGTGAATTTTCCAAAACAAGTACCGATCGACATCAACTGATGTCTTGACACAGAAGTAGCAAAATTTGCTATTTGTTCTGATACATAGTATACTCTATCTTTCTGCAAACGGAAAACATGAGGATTAGTAGGATTGTCAATTAAAAACGAAATATTTCTACCAATATAGTTTGCCAACTTCTCGAACACAACCTTAGTTTCTTCTTCTGTTAAGGATCTCATTACTTCTGTTATATCTTTAGTATCTTTTTTAATTATCTCTTCTTAAGATCAATATTAAATGTACTTGAAGTCAATAAATTTTTCAGTCACGTGAAACTTCTGTGAGGAAGCGATGAGGAAATTTTTCAGGCAGTAGTATATGGTACTAAACCTTCATTTTGAATACAATAAGTTGTAATGTCTGAGCCAATTAACAATAAAGAGGACGTGAAACCTAAATCTGTCGAACCAACTGCAGATATTCCAAATGATGAAGTGGATGAATCTGTTTATAAAAGGGGTCAGCAAGATAAGTGGACTCGCGCCCGTAAAGGTGATAAAAGAGAAAACACCAATAAAAGATTCAAGAAGAATTCAGGCGATAAAAAGGAGAGGGAGCATAAGGTCACGTAGGTATGTTTTTTCAAAACCAAATCTGTTAAGAATTAAGGATTACTAACAATAGTAGTGAATTTACCCCAAGAGTAGATGAAAATGGTAACCCATTGCCAAAATCGGAAAGAAGACCTAAGAAGAAGGTTGCATGTATGATTGGATACTGTGGAACTGGATACAATGGTATGCAGATCCAAAATAACCTTGACGTTAAGACTATTGAAGGAGATTTATTCCAAGCATTTGTTAAAGCCGGTGCGATCTCACCTGAGAATGCGGATGATTTGAAGAAGAACGGTTTTATGAGAGCAGCTAGAACTGACAAGGGGGTTCATGCTGCAGGTAATGTGATCTCGTGTAAGTTAATTATCGAAGATGAAGATATTTTAGAGAAAATCAACAAGGAATTACCTGACCAAATTAGAGTTTGGGGTATCGAAAGAACCAACAAGTCGTTCGATTGTCGTAAGATGTGTTCTTCAAGAGTTTACGAATACTTATTGCCTACATACAGTTTCTTACCACCAAAGCCTAAGACTGTTTTGTCCGAATTGGTCAAGAAAGGTAAAGCTGACCATCCAGGAATAGTTAGAGATGACCCTGAGGGAGACGCATGGTGGGCCGAAACTTCTCAGGCTATCTTAGATAGTGGAATTTCTCAAGATGATGTCAACAAAGCACAAGCCATCTTAGAAGCTACTAACAGTATTGATAATGAAGGATCTGAAATTAACAAGGAAGATACTAAGTTGTACAATGAGAATGGGGAAATAACTGAAACCGGAAAATTGATTAAATCTATCAAACAAATCGAGAATAAGAGAAGAAGATCTTATAATGTTTCTAAAGAGAGATTGGAATTATTCCGTGACGCTATGAAACAATATGAAGGTTCTCACAATTTCCATAACTTTACTTTAGGTAAGTTATATAAAGATCCCTCTGCAAGAAGATATATGAAATTGACCACTGTATCTGATCCATTTGTTATTGAAGGTACTGAGTGGGTTTCAATCAAAATTCATGGGCAATCGTTTATGTTGCATCAAATTAGAAAAATGATTGCCATGGCGGTTTTAGTAATCAGAACTGGGTGTCCAATTTCAAGAATCCAAGATTGCTTTGGCCCAACTAAAATCAATATTCCAAAAGCACCGGCTCTTGGTTTGTTGCTTGAGAATCCTGTTTATGAAGGATATAACGGCATGTTGGAAAAATTCGGCTATAATAAAATCGAATTTGAACCTTACAAGGAAGAGATAGATAAATTTAAGATGAAGTATATTTATGATAAAATTTACGGTGAAGAAGTTAAAGAAAATGTATTCTATGGATTCTTTGGATTCATTGATACTTTCAAAGGAAATATCGAATCAAAGGAAGGCAAACATATCTTTGATTTCTTAGGAGCAGTATTCGAATCAGGACTTAGCAAGGACAATAAAGTTGTAGAGACAAATAAGGATAACGAAGACAATGTACCTGCTAAACCTCAGGATAATGTTGATTAGATTTTATTTAGGAATAGTAATATTCAACTTGAAAGTTAACAAAAATAGTTATGACTATAGCTTATTTATATCTATATAACATTTCATCTTTTAAATGAAAAAAAGTTACATGAATTGAATAATCAATACAATATATATTAGTAATATATAAATTTATGAAAATGATATTATGCAATTATTGATATTCTATGATATCTAAATTATTTTTTTAATTTTCTGGTTTTCACTTTCCAAGCATACGAAACAAATAAGCAATAAAAATCAAATTAAACTAAAGCCAAGTAGAAAGATTGTTTGATGAAGCCTGCTGAGCTTGCAGACTTTGATTATCATTTATACGACGGGCAACTTTAAGTTTTGAATCATCCTGAGAAGGACTATTAAAGCGTTGGTTACTATTAACATTTGAATAATTTTCAGGCATTCTTCTAACTTTCGGTTTCTGTTGATAAATAGGGTTGAGTTGTTGTTGTGTAGATTGTGAGTTATATGGCACAGAAACAGGTTGCTGGAGGGTTTGGTTTTGCGATGGAGGAGTATGGTGCATGTTCTGAGGTATAGCATGTTGTTGATTTATGTCTTGTGGTGGTAACTGTGGAGGTTGTTGTTGTATCTGTTGCTGCTGTTGTTGTTGCTGTTGTTGTTGATCATTATTATTTTGTTGTTCATCTGTTACCTGTGATTGTTCCCTTTGTTTTTCTTGTTGGAACTTGTATAATGTCCAATCGAAAACATAATCATATCTGTAATTTTCCCTCTTAAATAGATCTCTGAAAATCTTTCTCAAGTATGGATAGTCAGGTTTATCATCGAATCTTAATGTCTTAATGTAATTCATGTAATCCAAAAATTCTTTTGGTAATCCCTTGGTTAAAATATCATTAGGGGTAGTCATCTTCTTTTCCATGATTCTGTCGTACTTCTGTCTTTTAGTTGCAGCTTTTAACCCTTGCCATGGCAATGAGCCCCTGCAAAAGTAAATCAACACATAGCCTAAACTTTCCAAATCATCTCTCCTCAGCTGTTCGATACCCAAGTGGGTGTTAACCGATGCATATCTGGCGGTACCGGTCAAGTTCTTATTTTCTCTATAAGGAATATGTAAATGAGTTCTTGGATCTCTATATTTCTTGGCTAAACCAAAATCGATAACATTCACCTGCGATCCTCTTCTACCTATACCCATTAAAAAGTTATCGGGCTTGATATCTCTATGGATGAAGCATCTAGCGTGAATATATTCAATTCTGCAAATCAACTGATCTGCTAACAACAATACAGTTTTGTATGTGAACTTACGATTACAATAATTGAAGAGATCCTCCAACGAAGGCCCCAATAAATCAATTACCATCGCATTGTAATCACATTCAGTACCGTACCATCTAACAAACGGAATTCCTACCCCTCCACTCAATGCCTTATACACCTTAGCCTCATATTCCAATTGTGGATGCTTTGCCTTGGTGTTTTCTAATTTAATAGCAACCTCTTCACCTGATATGATATTCGTCCCCAAGTAAATATCTCCAAATGAACCTGATCCAATCTTACGTCCAATCCGATATTTCTTGCCCACTCTTAAATCCATTTCTAATTGTTGTGATGTTGATCCTGTTAATTAATTACACGAAGCAATTTTAACGTATACGTATTAATTTTTTTTTTTGTGTAGTACTATTGAATCAAGTAAGTTTAATGTTATACTTGTATTCTTGAATAGTACCGTATGATATATCTCAATACAATATATTAATTAGATTATCTACTATCTACCCGCTGAACTATAGGAAACAAGAGAAATTTGATTTCTGCTGATGCTAAAACACAAAGTGTCACAAAACACACAAGAAAAATTATTCGGCAAGTTTACACAAAACTTCATCACTGGCAATGGCCGTACCTGGAACTTGATGCAAAATATTACTGTTTTAGATAAATAATATAAATTAACAATTAAAACAAGAGGTATATATATACTGCATAAGATATGTAACAGTAAACATTCGTAATGTTAGACAAAATACTCAAATGAGTCTATATTAAACGATAAAAAGTTACTTTGCGGAAGAAGACTTCTTGAATTTTCCCAAAAATCTCTTGAAAAAAGCATCTTTCTTCACTTCATTGTTGACGTTCTTGGAGGCCTTTTGGACATCTTCTTTGGCAGTTTCACCTTGGGAGGCTAAGTCTGGTTTGGTGGTGTCTTTAGCACCTTCAGCACCGGCAGGAGCTGCGTCTTGGTCGACAGCTTCTTTGAGTCCTAATGGGGTCTCACCTTGGGTGTTTTCAGTAGCTGGGACAGCTTCTGCATCTTGAGTAACTGGCTCTTCTAACTGAGGGGCAGCCTCAGTTTGTGGGTTGGATTGTGGAAGTGCTTCCGGTTCTGCAACTAAAGGTTCTGGGTTTGTTTCTGGAACTGCTTCTGGTTCTGCAGCTAAAGGTTCTGGAACTGCTTCAGATTGGCCAACAGTTTCAGTAACTGGAGCTGATTCGGAAGCATTGACACCTTCAGTTTGAGGGGCGGCCGAAACTTCTTGGTCAACAAATTGGCCCTCGGAGGCATCGGTTTGGTCAATGGCTTCGTGTGCAGCTGGCTCATTACCTTGGCCAGCAACACCTTCTTGTTCGGTTGCGCCAGTTTCTAATGGTTCTTCAGTCTTCTTAGCTTCAGATTCTTCTGCTGGTGCTTCGTGACCAGTGACATTCTTGGAATCATCTTTGGCATGAGAATCGTTGATAAAAATTCTCGATGTTCTCTTTAACTTATCTTTAATACCCATTGTCGTTTTTATGGAGTCTTGTAAATTATAATAGAAATATAGCTTAAACACTAATTAATAAAAAGTGGGTTTATATTTTACGTCCTAGAGCATATTTTAATTTTATTTATGTCCGCCGAATATGACCAGAGCCCAAACACTGGCTTCAATGCTAATTAGGCGGCTCAGATTTATTATTTACGTCCCAATCTAGCAATTACACGATTACCTACACGTCCCTTATTGAGCCTGGCTGTACCACATTAGCATACCATTTACGTGGTATGGTTTGATTATCACTTGACTACGTTTTAGGCATAACTAATTTTAGTATCACGCCAAATTCACGATTTTTTCTGTTCTCATGTATGTATGCGTCATGTAATGCATAAGCCTATGGTACTACCACCGCAAACCTACGGTAACCTCCTCCCGTATCGTATCATTTACTCAGTTCAAGCCGCTTTAACTATGGTTGAGCCGTTTACGTTGAAACGGCTGAACAACGGTGCTTATGTAATTACGTCCACCGTTTGTTATACCAAATGCATAAAACATGCTTTAGATACATTCTACAATAGTTCCATGATGTACAATAGGCGGTAGTAAAGGGTATGTATCTCACGTCAGTCAGTCCATAAAATATAGACCAATGCAATGCAAATTAATATCCTGAAACAAGCAGTAACTTTTATGTCTCAGGCGTAGGGTACGAATGTCTCGTGTGACAATTTTGCTTGGTCATGGATTCGGGTTCGGTGTGATTCCATCCTGGACCCATCCGCTAAAAGCCAACTACAAAATGTTCTGGGTGTAAAGAGGAGAGTAAGTGGTGGATTGGGTTTTTCGGCTCGGTATCTGGAGTGGGTTGGAACCCCCTGGACCAAAGGATAAATTTTGCATAACACAATGCGACCAGACAAACAATTCTGTTCGTTTTAAAATCGACTATCGAAAGGGCAGAAATTTACAATAGAGGTGAGGTTGGGCAATTGAGCCACGGCTTGAATTAAACACGGAAGTAGTCGAGTTAAATATTAAGTGTGGAAACTGGATGCTTATCAAGCACCATAAGTCGCGAGATCGCGGGTATCAATAGCATACGATTACGTATTTGGTCTTCTAGCCGCAAGGAGGCGGACCACAAAAATTGTTTGTAGTGGCACACCTCTTAGTGATGACGGACTAATGATGGTACGAATGTCCGTTCAAGTATAAGGGTTTAGGCTCTAGGGTATGCTTTAAGTAACCTATATTGAGTATAACTTGTACTTAGTTCAGGAAGTTATCTGTTGGTCCGGAAAGCCGCCTTGAACCACTTTCCGAAAAAATATCGCTTCCTAATGATCTCTACAGCCATCTTGCGTCGATTAGCCTTGTATTCTGTAGAGAATAGAGAATTCGGGACGTAGCTGGCTATTCTTGTCTGCGTCGAACATCGCGATGAGCTGAAAAGAATAAGTCCGCCTTTGTACTTCCTAATTTGGGTATCCTCCTAACAAGAATTTTAATGCCCGCTTAAGTCCACTAAATACCGCTGAAATATACGTCATCATATACCTCAGCTTACCACCGCTCTTCTACTAAAGGCATGTCTATCTGATTGCAAAATTCTACCATGAAATATGTCTGTCGTGCATATACCATTTTTGTCTTATTTATTATATACAGTCCAGGACACCATAAACATAAACAAGACAATCCACAATAAGCTGATCGGGTTACATCAACATAGGGTGAAATATATGCCTGAGACCATGAGTGCATCATCGAGTCAGCTTAAACGCATAGAAACTCGTATAGAGAGTTTATCGGAGTCGTTGTCGAAGTCGAATGCACGCAAACCACTTGGTAAATTTCAACTAAATACATTTGATAACAGTAAGATCACCAAGCTTCAGAATGAAAAGATGAGACTGCTGAAAAGTTCAAATATACCAATCAAACTGCCTATACGGAAGAAGACACATTCTCCGGCTCAGTCATTGCAAAACGAGCGGATGGATACGAAATTATCATTACAAAAGTTACCTTCGGCAAGCAGACATATGAAATTGGATGATTTTGAAATTGGTAAAGTACTTGGTAAGGGAAAGCTAGGAAAAGTATACTGCGTTAAACATAAGACATCCGGATACGTAGCAGCATTAAAGGTAATGGCTAAAAAAGACCTCATAGACTTAAAGTTGGAAAAGAACTTTCGCCGAGAAATTGAAATCCAGTCTAACCTAATTCATCCCAAGATATCGCGGTTATATGGCTTCTTCTACGACCATAAGAACGTGTATTTGATATTAGAATATTCAATTCATGGTGAGTTGTATCACCACTTAAAAGTTCAGAGAAGATTTAATGACCCAACTGCTTCACACTATATTTATCAAGTAGCATTGGCACTCGAATATTTACATTCAAAACACATTATTCATCGGGATATTAAACCCGAAAACATTTTGTTATCAACTGATGATTGTATTAAATTGAGTGACTTTGGGTGGTCCGTCAAGAGTCTGCCCAGCTCCACTACCAAGAGACTAACCATATGCGGAACATTGGACTACTTACCTCCTGAAATGATTGAATCCAATGAGCATGACTATACTGTTGATATTTGGTCGTTGGGCATCCTCTGTTATGAATTTCTTGTGGGGAAACCCCCATTTGAGGAAATAGATAAAAATTCAACCTATAAACGAATCGCTAAAGTCGACTTAAAAATACCTAGCTTTATCTGCAGTGAAGCAACAGATTTAATTTTAAAATTGTTACAAAAATCACCTAAAAAGAGAATAACATTGGCCGAAGTTATGAATCATCCTTGGATTTTAAATAATAAACAGTATTGGCCCAATGAAAACTGACTAAAAAAATTTGCATACTATAGTCCACACCATTAGTTTTAATTCTGCATCTTAATTTTCCCACTAGTATATATTCAGGTTTTTATGAAATATATTTCTTTTTGCATTAAATACATCTGTAAAAGACGGGGGGGTTTACTTCCCTAATATCGTATTACAAGTTAATTTTTTATTAATTATTTATAAAGCTAATATACATAACTAGGCTTGTTGTTGTTGCTTTTGCTGCTGCTGTTGTTGTTGCGCTCTAGCTTGGCGCTGTTTCATAAGCATCATTTGTTGTTGCTGCAACTTCATTATTTGCTGTTGGAACAATTGTTGCTGTATTGTATTATGCTGGGAGGTAAGCAAGATTGCTTTCAGCGGTGCTCTTACCAGATACATTTCTCCAACAATAGAAGAAATATTTTGAGTCAAAGAATCCCCATTACTTGCCCCTTGGTCAACATTTACTAAAGCACAGCGACCTTGAAGTCCACCCATAGATCCTGAAATGGCTTGGTTTGCCAAGGTCAGATCATTTGCTGAACTATTGGCAGAGCTGTTATTTGTAGTGTTGTTATTGCCGGTATTAATTAACGCATTAGCATACGCTTCTCTCATATACAAAAACTTATGACGATTTCTAGTAGGCAACATAACTTTTCTTTCCAATGGAATAGGATAATTTTTGGAAACTCCCTCTAATACAAGATGCGTTTCTTCATCAGCATCCAATACCTTATTGTACAAACCATTAGTTGCCATACCGTCTTCATCATTTTCGTTTCCTCCATTGAACGCAGCGTTTTCTCTTCTTTGGACTGCAAGAGCATTATTTGCTGCCAACTTAGCTTGATTCCGTTTCTGATACTGTTGTAATAAGACATCATATGGTGCACTTCTGCCCAAAACTGCTCTCTTAGCTCCCATCGAATGTGTTTTACAGGTCAATGACCTTGCACAATATCCACCAGATGGCAATGGAACACCACATTGTTTTTCAACATCAACTGGTCCCTTGGGTTTACCCAGGTTCTTAGGTTTTGGCTGTTTCTTTTTCTTCCCAACTCCATTACCAGTACCAGCTGATGATGGAACGGAACTACCATTAGAGTTGGCTGCTGCTGCTGCTGCTGCTGCATTTGCGGCTTCTTTCTCCTTCTGGGTCTGTGACTTCTTATATTTTTTCTTGGGTCTTGCTACACCATTTGTGGAAACAGGTGTCCCTGAAATAGGTGTGGTATTTCTTGAAGAGTCGGCCGATGAAGGTTCAACATCTAATAATGGGTTGGCTGCACCTCTACCTCTTTTGCGCTTGTTGGTATTACTGTTGTAATTACTAGAACCTGAATCTTCTTCCTGTTGCTGTTTCTTCTGTTTCATTTCCAAACACTTTGAATAATGGTTCTCTAAACTTCTTTCTCCAATCGGTCTGTTACAGGATTTGCAAACTTTGTACTTGATAACCTGTGATAAATAAGAATTATCCGGTGATGATTTATTAATCAAACTTGAAGCTGCTAAGGTATCACCAATATCTGGATTCAAATGTGTGTCTAATTTCTTATCAAGATAAACTCCAAAGTCTTTCCACACAATAGGCTTTTTATTTAATTCGTTATTGTTAAGCGAATGTACACTAGCTAAAGATATGGCTTGTTTGGATCTTCCAGTGGACATTCTCTTATTATGGAGAGACAACAATACTCTTCTGCTATAAATACACCGTTGAAATTAATATATCTCTTTAATTCAACGCTTTATTATGAATGAATATTCTCACTTGAGAGTACGTTATAGGATTGATCTTTAGAATGAAGCCTACGAAGTATATGAACTGGTCTGGTTCATTATTTTAAAAGATACCGTTGATCGAAAGTTACACAAACCTGGGGCCATATTTTTTTCAATTATAGATTACAAAATTAAAACATTAACATATATATTTAAGACTCCAATATCTGTAGCTTTCTCCCCCTTTTTGATATTGTTAATAAAGGATTTGTTTGGAAGTTTGCCCGTTGAGTTGTAAGATTTTTGTGGTGTTTCTTGAAATGCCTAAAATAGCTCAATAAAGGGTTTGATTTCATCTTCCAGCATCCAACTTCTATAATTTCGTAACAAGCAGGACATGCAAGAGCCTCGGTTATACGAGGTTTGTGGGATGTTCGCTTTTTTATTATGTTACCATTGGTATCTTCGGGGCTTTCAGAATTTGGAGTAGTATCACTGTCGTAAATATGAGAATTTTTGGTGATAAGATATCTACCATAGCAAACTCCTTCTGGAGTCAAATAGTTATTGGAGAAAATTCCATGCTCTAATGTTAGATGAGACAAGTAACTAGAATTCTTGAATGGTAGAAACTTGACTTTTTCACAGTAAGCACACATTCCACACTTGCTTTCATTAACTAAATCACCAAACTCGTCCAACTCAAATCTGTAATACTGAGGTTCATAAGGATTATTCAAATCGTAAATTGAGCTTTTTTTGTACACAATGTTCGTTATCGTATCTTCTAGCTCGCTTATATCTCTGGAATATTTGACTCTTTGCCATAATGTTGACATGGGAGGAGGTTGGATCATCAGAGACTCTGTTTTTATGACTTCGATTAATTTCACATCCGCCGATTGTTTTGTATTAAGATTAATCGCCTCATTCTTCAAATTATTATTCATTAGTGGTGCCCCTATGGGTCTTCCTGTATATCCATTGTAGTCAATGGTAATTGATAAGCATTGTATGCTTGATTCCTTAATTGATATTTTGATGTGATCGTTCACACATGTCAACCTAAATCTGTCAGAGACCATTCTATTTTTTATATCTTTACCTTTTTTCTCTTTTTTAGTCATAGAATCTTCTGTTAAGTATAATTCTTGTTTAAATTTTGGTACTGGAGAGTACTCGACTTGCTTTTCATTATATTCATTCGTGGCTAAACTTTCTATAGAGTCTGTCGTCGAATTCATCATGTTCAAACGACCCATACATTCCTTCTGGTCATAATGATAATTATCCGTTGCCTTCACATCATTGTGACCGAACTTATTATTCTCAATACCCCAGAGAGTGGAAACTTGTTCAAAATTACCATCATATATTTCTTCTGGCTCAAAAACTTCATTGGCAAATTCATAAATAGTTCTATCATTGTCAAAACTATTCGCTCTTTGCTTTGAATCTTCTCGATAATCTTCGTAGCTTGATATACCATCAAGCAAAGAGCGTGGATTGGAACCGCTCGATAAAGATGGCTGCGAAATCTCTTTTGTCACATACATTGAAGGCAATGTAGAATTATCCAAAGCAGGAATCATTTCATTCAGTATAGCTGAACTTATTGATTCATTGGAGTATCCCAATTCGGGGTTACTTCTGCTTGCGTATACATCATGGTAACTACCAATACCTGATGAATTTAATTTAATGTCGTCGGATTTAGGGTATCTTCCATGTAAATTTGTATTATCAACAATCTTGGCAAGAGGATCAATTTTTCTTTGCTTCAACTCATTAATACGAATATGGCTAGAGTTTTGTATATTATTATTCATCATCATTATCTGATTTTGGATGTAATCAAATTGTTCCATTTTTGGTCAAAAATTTATTAAATTAGCAAATATAATAAATATTGATTCAAACTGGAAACTAGTATCAATATTACAACAGAATAAAGTAAAAGTAGTCTGAATATTCGTTTCTTTATATTGATAATTATTTAAACAAATCATCTTTCTTGGTATGCCATATTGCAACAACATTTATAAAAAGTGAGCCACTGTTTTAATTAAACGAGCTCGAAGTACGTGGGATTAATTTTAAATATTAGCTTATAAGCATAATAAACTATAAATATACCTCAGTACTCCTCTACGGACCGTGAATCTTTTATATAGTTCTTGCAATTGGCTATAAGTACTATTGTACTGATTATTATTGAAGACATCTAATCGTGTATATAGATATTTCATCGCAGCCTTTTTTTTTTTCTAATTTTTCACTCCATATATTTGATCCAATTGTAGTCTCCAGAATAGTAATATCTTTATACTTAATAGTAACGGAATGTCATTAGGAAATACTGTTCTTGCACTCTGTTGCATATTATACTTACTTTCTGGCGGAAGATGGTCCATAGTTTTAGCAGTTGGTACTTTATCTTTTTTGTACACTAAGAATAAGCAGACTACTCAGGTTATAACGAAGAGCATATCTGAAGAAAAAACAGTTAAAGAACAAAACAATAAACCTTCACCTATATATGCTGTTGACTTTACTTCAACTTCATTTACTCCTGACGCCACCACACGTATTCCTGAAAATAAGTTAAGAAGCATCAAGCCAGTTTCGTCATTAAGACCAAGAGGTAGAAGATCTCCGAAGATTATTAAAGCTAGTAAGCCAATAACTAATACCAGCGAACCGACTTTAACAAGATCTGCCGTAAATTTACTTGACTCACAGATATATATCTTTTATACTACGTTGACAGGATCATCACAAAGAGTCGCTAAGGCATTGTACGAAAAGCTCGAACACTTACCAAATTTGACAAATAAACCGAAATTATTAAGTCTTGATGATGATGTTGATGATCTTGAGGAATACTTTTTAAAGACACCTAATGCAGAGAAAGACAAGAGCATATATCTTTTGGTTTTGCCTTCGTATGAAACCGATTCGCCAATTGATTATTTCTTGGAACACTTGAAAGAAACCTATCAAGATTTCAGAGTCGATAAATATCCAATGCGATCACTTTTAGGATTTGCTGTTTTAGGATTGGGTGATTCTGAATCATGGGCAGGTGAAAAGTTTTGTTATCAAGCAAAATTGGCGGATAGATGGATGGGAAAATTAGGTGGAAGAAGATTGTATCCTGTTGGAGAGGTTTGTATGAAATATGATGGTGAACCTAAGACAAATACATGGATTCAAAGTTTTGCTTCTTTGTTAGCAGACGACGAACCATTCTATCTTGATGCTAATGAAGAAATTGACGATAGTGATTATGAAAATGATTCAGATGGTGAAGATGCAAACACATTAGTTGATGTGGAAGATATGGGTGACATTATTAAAAAGCAAGGTACAAAGGGTTTATCCAGTCAAACCGAAGTGAAGCAAATGGTTGCAAAGGATTCTCCAACTTTCAAATCATTGACAAAGCAAGGTTATACGATCGTGGGATCCCATTCGGGTGTCAAAATATGTAGGTGGACTAAAAGTGCATTGAGAGGAAGAGGATCTTGTTACAAATTTGCGTTTTACGGGATCAAATCTCATTTGTGTATGGAAACCACACCATCATTGGCTTGTTCAAATAAGTGTGTGTTTTGCTGGCGTCATGGGACTAATCCTGTAGCAAAACTGAACTGGCGTTGGGAATTAGACCCACCAGAAAAAGTTATGGAAGGAGCATTACAAGGACATTATCAAAAGATTAAACAAATGAGAGGTGTTCCAGGTATTCAAATGGATAGATTTGAAGAGGCTTTTAAAGTTAAACATTGTGCATTATCCTTGGTTGGTGAACCTATCTTTTACCCTTATATCAATGAATTTGTTGGAATGTTACACGAACAACATATTTCATCATTTTTAGTCTGTAATGCTCAGCACCCAGACCAACTTGCAAAATTGAATAGAGTTACCCAGTTATACGTTAGTATTGATGCACCTACAAAGACAGATTTAAAGAAAGTTGATCGTCCATTGAATAGTGACTTCTGGGACAGGTTAATGTCATGTTTAGACATTTTGCGCACTACTCAATCTCATCAACGTACCGTTTTCAGATTGACTTTGGTTAAAGGTTTTAACATGAACGATATCTCTAGTTATGCTGATATGGTTATAAGAGCACAACCTTCTCAAATTGAAATAAAAGGAGCTACTTTCTGTGGATCCTCAAATAGTAATGGTAATCCGTTAACCATGCAAAATATCCCATTTTATGAAGAATGTAAGCAATTTGTTATCAGTTTGTCAGAAGATTTAAAATCGAGAGGATATGATTATGAAATAGCTGCAGAGCATGCCCACTCATGTTGTATCTTAATGGCTCACAAAAGATTCTTCCGTAATGGAAAATGGCACACTCATATTGACTACCCTAAGTTTTTCGAATTATTAGAAAGTGGAGAAGAATTCAATGATATAGACTACATCAGGGAGACTCCTGACTGGGCAGTTTGGGGTTCTGAAGAAGCTGGGTTTAATCCTGTCGATACTAAGTTTGACAGAAAGGCAGAAAAAATGAAAAATAGATTGGAAAGAGAAGAAAAAGCTAAGAAGGTGCTTGAGCAACAAAAAATTCACTAATTTTTATAAATTCTACATATGTATATATTTAATTTTCCAATAAGATATTGCTATACTACGTACTGAAGCAAAATATGTAATATTATAATAGAATGATTATAGTAATATAAAAATGACTTCGTGTATATTTAAAACGAGCGTAATATTTCGATTTATAAATACAGAACTGAACACATTTCGATAATTTATCTTTCAATTAGAACATAAGATACTTAAATCATCATCTATGCCAGGCAAATTGGGCAGTAATTCCAAAAAGATAGCATTTATCCATCCAGATCTTGGAATTGGTGGAGCTGAAAGATTAGTCGTTGACGCAGCCGTAGGTTTACAAGAACTTGAAAATGAAGTCATAATTTATACTTCTCATTGCGATAAGAAGCATTGCTTTGAAGAAGTCAGTTCCAATTTATTGAATGTTGAGGTTTATGGTGACTTTTTTCCAACTAATATTTTGAAGAGGTTTCACATACTATTTGCTATTATCAGACAATTTTATTTGGTACTTGCGTTAATCATTACTGGTAAAATAAAACAGTATGACTACTTCATAGTTGACCAATTATCCTTTTGTATCCCATTGTTATGCTGTTTTAGTAGACCTGATTGCAAAATTTTATTCTATTGTCATTTCCCCGATCAATTACTAGCATTAAAGGGTGGTCTTCTTAAGAGGTTTTATAGGATACCGTTTGATTTTATTGAGGAATGGACCACTGGTATAAGTGACCAAATAGTCGTTAATTCTAACTTTACCAAAGGTATTTTCCATAAAACATTTAAGGGGTTAAATAATATAGACCCGGGCGTTATTTATCCATGTGTTGACCTTGCCTCTGCGACTGATACTGACGAAGATAAGTTGATGGATAAAGAGGTGAATGAATTCTTTAAGAATGGTAAGTTTTTTCTTTCTATTAATAGGTTTGAACGAAAGAAGAATATTGACTTAGCCGTTAAATCATTTGCTAAGTTCAAGGCACAATTACCTAAAAACGTTTCAGAAGATAACAAAGTGAAACCAAGATTGGTCATCGCTGGGGGATTTGACCCCAGAGTCGTTGAAAACGTGGAATATTTACAAGAGTTAAATAGTTTAGCAGAGCTGTTGGATTTGAAATGTTTCACTATTAGAGGCAAATTACTAATAATACCACCTGCTACTGATGTATTATTTTTACCATCTATTAAGTCATCATTAAAGAAATCTTTGATTAAAAATGCTGAATTATTATTATACACACCTTCTTTCGAACATTTTGGAATTGTTCCCGTCGAAAGTATGCTTTTTAAAACCCCTGTATTGTCTGTTAATAATGGTGGTCCTTTGGAGTCTATTGTTCATTTTACTTCTGATAATATTGAGACAGCGACAGGCTACTCTCAAGAACCTAACGATGAATTGTGGTCAAGAACGATGTTTGCATTTTACTCTGAACTAGACGAAGCTACAAAGATAAAGTTGGGCGAAAATGGATTGAGTAGAGTTGATGAATTATTCCTGAGACAACAGATGAGTGAAGCATTCATGCAAAACTTGATTCAAAGTAATTCAAAGGATGAAGAGAAAGGAATTTTATATGGGGTTCTAAAATTATGGAGAATTGAATTGCTATTGGTTCTTATTAGTTATTATTTGGTAAGATTATATAAATAGAGAGAAATGGTATAGATCTTTACTTAAACATTTCTTTAATTGATTTCCAGAGATGTAGTTTTTCAGGCACCCTTTGTCTTACACCATTGGCATTCGAATTACTGCTACCTCCCCCACTGCCGCCATTACTATCAAACAATCCGAACATACTTTCACTTTTGTAATTCTTCGGATTTGACTGTCTCTGTTTCGCAGCCTCTTCATTTTCATACCATGCTAAAGCTTGATCACGTAAAGTTGAAACAGTTCTATCATACAGTTTACGTAATTCTATTTCGGGTCTTAATTTAAATTTGTGTATACTAGATGAAGGAGATTGTAAATTATAGTCACGTATCAAATTATTCAATGCTTTAGTTTTCTCTATAACGTAGGGTAATTGACGGGAATAGAACTCGCTATCATAGTAGTTAGATGGATTTCCACTAATTTTATCGATTCTACTCAAAACTGCATCTCGAGATATCGACGCAGGCTTTAAGTTATAAAATAAAAATTTAAACCATTCATTATCTATCGTTTTTCGAAAATCAATAATTTGTCGATCTATGCTTTGTTGACTATCTATCCAAGGTGGTAAAACCTCTTGCTTGTTTAGTATATGATTCATGAAATAATTTGTGTCAGTGCAGTTTCTCAAATGTTCCCTATCTAATGGCTTGCCTCTTACACTAGACATATCACCAGTATCATTAAAATGTCCCGTATCGTGATTAATGCTAGCATTTATTTTTGCATCTGCCAATGTAGTGGCCATCCCAAGTAATGTGTGGGGAGAAGAAGAATTAAGAAACATCGAAGGGCCTAATAATTTCTCCTTATAGAGCTCCCTGAAATTATCATCCTCCTTTTTAGTGTTACCGATCTTATAGTCCAAACTAGATTCTTTGGCATTTTCAATCCTATCCTTGATACTCATTGGTGGAGTGATAATAGTTTTCTGGTATTTAACTGGTGGCGGCTTCAGATCAAGAAGCATCCGTAAGTTGACATCGTGGACTGATTCCGTTCCATCCCAAGGTTTATTTGCCACTGTATCAGCAATATCTTTCGCATGTCTATTACGATTGAGTATTGATTCACTTTTCAAATGCGATAATTCTTTCTGAAATGCCATCTTAAACTGCTTATCTGAATCAACAGAATACTTGCTATATATCTCTTTCAATTTGGGATCTTTATTGATAAATGAAGGTGACGTCTCCGAGAGCTTACTCTCCAATATCTGGGTGAACCGCTGGACAAGCGCAGAATTCTTATCATCCTTCTGCTGTGAATTATTTTTTTCTTCCTCTTCTGGAATCTTAGGAACCTTTGAATACCCTCTGATACCAGCACATCTTGCACAAACTCCTATCTGTTTCCTTGTAATCATTACCCTTATTATCCAGACACCTTCTTTCTAAACGAATCACTAACCATATCGATCTCAATAAAGCTGCAGTCACGTGATTTCAACTCAGACTATCATCAACCCTAAGCAGTTAATGAAAAGAAAGCCTTTTAGAGATGGCTAGAGCGTCCGGGTGTATTATGGTGCTAATCTTCTGGCGAGGAAACAAAACGTGTTCGAATGGTATGGGATGTTGTAGGAACTTCGAGCACGTCATAACCATTTCGATGATGACTATACTCCCCACTTGAATTATCTCCAGAAAGTGACCCAAATCAACCCCAATCATGCTGATTCATTCTACATAGTATACTATAATTATGACCCGCTTATATTCTATACTAAAAATCCCTCTATAAACCTGTACCTTTTGGTACATTCAGAAATGAACAGTCCGGCCGACATCTCCTGACTTTGTGTGGTGACGATTTACGTACCAGTGATTACAACAGACATGTTGCATGACAGATCAGACGATATTGCCTCCAAAATCATCATCTCAACTAAATTTTCAAAAACTTATACGAGGGTTCTAAAGTGCGTAGAACACCAATACTCCGCACCCAAATACAATTGTCATCAAGAATAATAATTTGCATACAAAACCCATCACATATTCTCTCTTCCCCCCAGCAGTTATAATCATCTGTTTCTCTAAGTCCACATCGTCCATAAGTTTGATTTTACCTTTGTAAGCATCTCGGCTGGCATTTGTGGCATTGCGGGTGTCGTTCTCGATTAATCTGTTCAAGTGATCATCATTTTTAGATTCGGTAGAACATACAGAAGATATTGATGCTGAATGATTTCTCTTATTATCACTAGCAATAGGAATTGTATGACTTGTAGATCTAGCCCTTGTTATAGATGGCTTGAATGGAGCGTTTGTAGTGTCCACTGTGGGTGCAAACAGCACTGAGGGGGTTCTTTGTGGTCCAGCTGGAGCGTTTTGTTTGTTATCTTTCATCTTTAGCTACGGGTATATGTTGATTTTTTAAAGACAAATAATTTGAACTTCTTAATATTTCAACAAAAATTCTTTGGTTGGGCGTATTACCTAAAGCAGGGATACCCGTGGTTTATATATTGACATTTAAAAATGCTATTTAAGGTGACTTCCCCAGGCATTCTGGTTACGTAGTCATGGTACGCTCGCTTCGAACTTTATACACAAGTATTTATTTTGGTGTAAGGCTGTTACCTGGAATGCAGCGACAAGAACAATAGAGGATTAGCTAAGGAGGTGGCTGTACCATTTCAAATTGCATTAACTTTAGACCAAATATGTCTACAAAGAGTAATAGACATCTAATTGGATCTTGTTGACCATGATATCAGTTATTGATTTTGTTTACGTTCTGCATCTAGACCTATATGTTCGTGTAGCGCAGGTAGCGAGGGAGAAGGTGTAATGTATAGAGCATCAACTCCTCGAGACTATGAATGAGCGAAATCACAGCAAGCAGCAAGAAATGCCACACCGAGAATGTCGTAGGGTCGTTATAATAGTTTACAGCTGTTTCTATAAAAATGACAGTGCTAATAGTAGCTTGTAGCAAGAAGGGATGTTTTTGGAATGGAATGGCTAGCCCTGTCAAAATTTAGAGCAGGAAGGCTTACACGGGATTCCCTGTCCCAGCGAGGAATTTAGTAGGCGTTGCTCGCTGTAGACAATCATTAGCGATAGGATATTCTCGTGAGTGCGCGCCTAAAGAATGTATTAAGGGAGCTAATTGGGACCGCCCTAGTCAATCCCCCTACCATTTAGTGATCCTAGGGCCATTAATAACACCTGCAAGCTGCAAGTGATTGCTTCGACCATATACCTGTATGCGCCTTTACATAAACATATGGATAGATAAATGGTTAGGAAATGGTTACCATGGAAGCAGTACCTGATGGAGTCAGTTCTTGGGTATTTCATTGCTGTTGCATCCATGGATGAACTTTTTGTATAATTGGTGTTGTCGTGGTGGATCAGGTCACAAGTCATTTGAGACCCAGTAACGATGAAATTTTAGTTAGCGCGAAATGGACGAGTTTGTGTAACTTTTGCTCTTTCAGAATCGACCTTGATAATAAACTGAGGCCACCAAGCTACTATTACGTACTGATTATACCATATAAGTTTATACACTATTTGCTTCAATGTGGTTATTCGATTGGTGTATGTATTCTTGCAATAGATGTTATACGAGTTTTTTGAAATAGATTATACTAACACGAGAATAGTTCAAGATGTTTTAGCATCATTAGGGTTATGGAACAAACATGCCAAATTATTGTTCTTAGGTTTAGATAACGCCGGTAAGACAACATTATTACACATGTTGAAAAATGACAGATTAGCTACTTTACAACCAACCTTGCACCCTACATCTGAAGAGTTAGCTATTGGATCAGTTAGATTTACTACATTCGACTTGGGTGGACATCAACAGGCACGTCGTTTATGGAAAGATTACTTCCCAGAAGTCAACGGAATTGTTTTCTTGGTTGATGCTGCTGATCCAGAAAGATTCGCAGAATCAAAGGCGGAATTAGAATCCTTATTCAAGATTGAGGAATTAGCTAACGTTCCATTCTTGATTTTAGGTAACAAGATTGATGCTTCTTCTGCTGTTGGTGAAATGGAATTGAAATCTGCATTAGGTTTATACAACACCACTGGTAAGGACACTGGAAAGTTACCTGATGGCCAAAGACCTATTGAAGTTTTCATGGTTTCTGTCGTCATGAGAATGGGTTACGGTGACGGTTTCAAATGGTTATCTCAATACATTTGAGTGTATGTCTACGTGAACGCTGCCTTAACATATAGCCTAATAAATGTAATGTAAGTTTATATCCTACTGTAGATTAATAGCCATTAGCACTTCGTTCAGCAGTGGGTAGTACTGCTATAAATTTAAATCACGTGATAAACCATCCCATCGGATTTTTTTCTTCTTACAAATCGATGAAGGTTCACTATTGCCTACCATTAAAGCTCTTTACATTCCTAGATTTATTTAAGCAAATAATTATATTATGAGTGACGTTGGAGCAAATAAAGGTTCTTTGCATCCTGAACCAAAGAAATGGAAGATTCCAAAGGGTCCAAAGCCAATTCTGCATAAAAATAAGAATACTATCGGATTAGGTAGGACAATTGCAAACCAGAAAAGGTTAGATAATAAAATTACTTTCTTACCAGATGGTGAAATGAGATTTACAACTGACAAAAGAGAAGCTGACTGGGTGAAATTAAGATCAGTGACACAAGAAAATGCTTTAGATGAGTTTTTAAATACTGCTGAGTTAGCTGATACTGATTTCACAGCTGAAAAGAACCAACAAGTCAAAATCATTAAGGTTGGAAACACTTCTATTGTTAATCAGAATGGATTATTAACTCAAGAAGAAACGTTAGAATTACGTAGAAAGCATAAGATCTTTGAGAATAAATTAACAGTTCCAAGAAGGCCTGAATGGAATAAGAATCAACTGAAGTTAGAAATTGAGAGACAAGAAAATTTAGCCTTTTTAGAATGGAGACGTCAATTAGCATCACTTACTGAAAATAATGATTTATTATTAACACCTTTTGAAAGAAATATTGAAGTTTGGAGACAACTATGGAGAGTTGTTGAAAGGTGTGATTTAGTTGTTCAAATTGTGGACGCAAGAAATCCATTGTTATTTAGATCTATTGATCTTGAAAAATATGTTAATGAATTAAGTATGCCAGATAATAATGCTACCAAGAAGAATTTATTGTTGGTTAACAAAGCAGATTTATTAACTAGAGAGCAAAGAATTCAGTGGTCAGAGTATTTTACTTCGCAGAATATAAATTACGTATTTTTCTCCGCTTCCAAAGCTAATGAGTTATTGGAAAAGGAACAAGAAGAGTTAGAAGAATTACAAAGGGATCCTAATTATACCCCAGAAAGAAAGGTAGACGATGAACCAGAAGAAGTCAATTCTAAGATTAGAATCTTGAAGATTGATGAATTGGAAAACTTATTCTTAACTTCGTCGCCTAAATTTGAACATTCAGAAGATTTCCCTGATCGTAAGCTTCAAATTGGTTTGGTTGGTTATCCAAATGTTGGTAAGTCGTCTACAATCAATGCATTGGTGGGCTCCAAGAAAGTTTCCGTTTCAGCTACTCCAGGTAAGACCAAGCATTTTCAAACTATACATTTATCTCCAGAGGTATTATTGTGTGATTGTCCTGGTTTGGTTTTTCCAAATTTTGCTTACACTAACGGAGAATTAGTTTGTAACGGTGTTTTACCAATTGACCAATTAAGAGAACATATTCCACCTGTTTCTATTGTCTGTCAAAGAGTTCCTAAGTTCTACCTTGAAGCATTCTATGGTATTCATATCCCAATTCAAAAGATTGAAGATGGTGGTAATGGTGTCTATGCAAGTGCAAGAGAATTATTAAATGCGTATGCTAGAGCTAGAGGTTTCATGACCCAGGGGTTTGGGAGTGCAGATGAGTCAAGAGCCAGTAGATATATCTTGAAAGATTATGTTAGTGGGAAATTATTGTTTGTTAGCCCACCACCAAGGAAGATAGGTGAGGATGAGTGGGATTTACCAAGTATCGAAGAGGCCAGAGAATTAAATAAAGAATTATATTCTTTAAATACATTACCCGAATCAAGACAACACCAAATATTAAGTGCATTATCATCGAAGAATATCAATGCTGACGATTTTGATTTATCAAAGGGATTAGCAGGGTTGAACTTTTCTATGCATATAGGTGACAAGTCATCCAATTCTACTGATTTGGAAACTACGAAGAGAGAAGCCGGGGCAAGTACTGTTTTCTACGGTGGTAAGCAAGCTTCTTTGGAAAGTGCTGGTGATGATTTAGATCGTGAATTCTTCAAGATGAATAGTGTTCAAGGTAAGTTTAATAAACCTTTCCATACGGCTGGTGAAGCCAGCAATGGTAAGAATAAGAAACATGGGAAGAAGAATAAGAAGGCTGACAAGAAGACGAGAGTGGTAGGTTATTAATATATATTATTTGATTAATGCACAGTTTTCATGACATTTATTTTCATAATCTTGTAATTGTTTTCCACAATCATAGATGGCTTACAGGAATAATTAAATCAATTAAATATTTTATTATTTACATAAAACATAACTAATTTTGTTTTGTGAACTCTAAACGAATTAAATTGCTTAGTAGATTCTGAAAGATGGACCCATAGTAGATTTGATGACTAAGGAACCAACGTTTTGCCAGTTCTTCTTTAATAAAGAAACTAAGAAGTTAGCAGACATCATGATTTGGTTGACTAAGGTGTCTTCGTCCATTTCGACGTTACCAATAGCAACGGCTAAACATAAGACCTTCTTCAATTGGAACTTGATGGTAGACTTAACATCGGTGACCTTGGAGTATAAATCATCGTTGTGGGAAACTGGAGTTGGGAACTTACCAGCCTTAGATAATTGAGGACCTAACAATCTTGGGACTTGCTTAATCAAGACTTCGGAAGCAATGAAAGAGTTGTACTTCTTAGCTAACTTCTTAATTAACTTCTTGTTCTTGTTTAATTTCTTCAAGTCATCGACGGACATAGCATCAACACCACAAGACTTAGCTCTGTCGACATCAAAAGCATCACCAAAAATACAGATGGTCATGTTTGGTCTTGGAACTTGAGGTAATTTCAAGGTACCAGAGAAACGCTTATCTCTTTGAGGGTCGTAGTTCTTTAAACCAACTTGTAATTCAACGGTTTCTAAGAAGTTTCTCTTCTTAGTTTCGTTGGAGAATTCCAACAATTTTTGAACGTGTTCACGAACGGAAGCAGATGAAATCTTAGACATTTTCAACTAATTAATTCGTCTCCCAAAAGGTATTGGTAAATGTAATTGATTCGACGAGGATAAAGTTTCAAAAATCACTAGAGTATGGAAGAGGATGTTACTAACAAAATATACTATCGCACTGGGTACTAATTGTGAAAAATTTTGGTTACACAAAACTGAAGGCCATCTCAGTCTGAATTGTGACTGCTAAATGTTACACGTGTGCACTATAGACCATTAGGGCGAGTCATATTTGGATGTCGCGGTTGTTTGCGACATAAAAAGAATAATGTCGCAATATGCCTCTACTATTATTTGTTAGATAAAGTGTTGATGATACGTTAATGCTGTATATGGTTAATGTTATGATGCTAAGAACACCCAAATTTCTTGCTTGGGGGGATACATCAAGGAGGATATGTAATCGGAAGCTTTTGGAAGGAGTGCGATATATATGTGGTAGTGGAGTCAAGCCACTTGCCAGGAATGTCAAGTTGGAACACGAACTGTGGAAGGCGAAGGTAGGGGGACGTAATCCAAAAACGAAACTATCGAGACAGGAGCGTATTGATAGGATAAATATGCGGAATCGGAGCAAGCTCCAGGACCTTGATAACGAGTTTGGGATTTTCAATGGTGATGTAACGAAAGTGCTTGATTTGGGGTTTGTGCCAGGAAACTGGAGTGAATTTGCTCGTTATAGACTATGTCAGGTACATGGGGTTGACGAAGACAAGTTTCACGAAAAATGCCATATATTGGGGTTTGATATCCTATTTGGCACCCCACCACTAGGTGTTTCGTCCATGCAAGGGAATATCTTTTCCAAATCTGCACACGGTCTTATAATGCTGCATTTTAAAGATATTGCAATGAGGAAAGCCGTTCAGCCAAAAGACACCAATAAAGATGAAATGGACGAGTTTCAACAATCATATTATTTCAAGGAGCAAACCGAATCATTGATTGAACAACAGGTCAGTGACTTATCGGAAGATTTTGGCAGGTTAAAAGTTACAAATAGGGAAAAGGAAATTGACTATAAACCTGATTTGATTCTATCTGATTTGTCAGCGCCTTTCATGCAAGCAAAAGGATTTTTCAACAATACCAATTCCAAACCGTATTTGCGAACGGCTGCGAATCCAATACTAAGTAGGACTATAACAGATGAGGAGAAGTCTGCAATAGATTCAGCAGATGCTGCGTTGATTTTAGCCTGCGACATTTTAAAACAAGGTGGCACCTTGATACTTAGACTTTCTAAGGTGGATCCTGATGATGCTGAAATTATACTTTTGGAAAGTAGGCTCGACAAGGTTTTCAATCATGTCTTCAAATGGAATAGGAGTGGCTTGTTTGACGAGCAAAGTTATAAACCACAAGATGCTTTTTATGTTTGTATGGATAAGATTGATGATGTGTGTGATAAAAAGCATGTCTTTATGATTTAATAGAATATATATTATAGATGAAACAGGCACGTCTAGTAGGTGATATCCTCAATAATATAATTAGATTTAATTAGCCTTATCTTACAACTAATAATCGAATACAAATAGTATCTAATGTCTTACAAAAAGATTTATGATGAATCAAATATTTATAAAAAACTATGGAACAAAAAATTTTGTTAGGGGTTTGAATTAAGCATCAGCAGTTTCAGCTTCTTCAGTCTTTGTTTCCACATCAGCTGTGGTAGCCTCTTCTTCTTCTTCTTCTTCTTCTTCTTCTTCTTCTTCTTCTTCTTCTGCTTCATCAATTTCTTTCTCTGAAACGTCTACATCCACATCGACTTCTTCATTCTTAACACTAGCATCTTCGAGATCAATTAAACTGTCAATTGCTTCATGGGCAGGCGCAGGCGCTGTTGTGTCAGAAACGCTTAATCCTTCAAAATTATCAATTAATCTTTCACTTATTTTTGTCTTATTCTTAGATTCTAACTTTTCCTTCCACAATTTAATTGATTCGTTGACTTTTGATTTGTCTGCAGAATAATTCACTCCGAAGAATGTAGCCTCTGTTAATCTTTCACTCTTTATTAATAATTCTAAACACTTTTCCTTATTTCCAGTTATCCACCAAGTTTGCAAAGCTATGTTGTATTTACCCATGGTTTCACATTCTTCTGCTAATTTAACTAATTCTTTTTGATTATTAGACGAAGACAATAATAATAACAAGGAAGCATGATCTTTAGCTAGCCAGAAACAGTCTTGAGCTAACTTTATTTGCCATTTAGATAATGCTAAGTCACCTAACTTCTTCCATTTGGATGCATTGGCCAAGCTTGTTGATGGGTTTTCTTTCTGGTAAGTTGATAATAAATCATAAGCTTGCAGTAAATTGTTTGTGGAAAGCGATATTTGGAATTTGGAATCAAAATCTTGTGATAAGGAATATGACAATGCTAAGTACCCTAATTTTTCGAAGAATCTAGACAATTGATTTAATTCGGTCTTGCTGAAGCCAGATAAAATATTAGAATATTCTTCTGATAAGTTTTCTTTAGTAATACTAGACAAGTCTGGTACATTTTCTCCTGATTCTTCGTCTAAAACATGTTTTGTTGCAAATTGTTCTAAGTCTCCACGCATTACCAAGGTTTGAAGTTCTAAGACATCAGAGTTGACAAACCAAGAAACAACGTTGAATGATTTATCAATTAAGTATAATTTTCCTTCTTGATTTGCTCTGTATCCAACAATATAATATTTATGATCAAAATGACCTAAGTTAATAACTTCACCACCCACGAAATAATTCAATCTATTACTTGTGGCTGTAGTATATACAAAAACGTCACCGATAAACTTACCTGATAAAATGGATTCAGAAGTTGGTAAGGTGTATAAAACATTGAACGCAGCTTCTGCTCCTTCTTCTGGATCAAGCTCGTCGTTACTTAAAGCCTCTTCAAAGAGTGCATGATCATAACTTAAGAAGTATGTTTCATCACCAGTCTTAGAACCAATAGCGGCCTTATTTTCTCCAACATTAGATGAAGTAACAATCGCAAAAAGTTCACCATTATCTGACCAAACAACTTCTTGGATATCGTCATCCAAGTCAACCCTTCTAACTAACTTACCATGTTCCCAGTCATAGAAAGAAATACAGCCTTCCAGCTTAATTCCTAATAAAGCTCCGGCAAATATTTTGTCAGCTTGATAGATCAAATCAATTTGTAAGTGTTCTTCAAAGTTCTTAAAAATTTTAACGCTTAACTGAGATTCTCTGATAGCAAATGTACAAGCATTTGATAAGTCATGAGAATTCCAGCAAAAGTCTAAAGCTTTACCATAAGTTTTAGATCTCCATGCTAACGCTGTGTAGATGATATATTCACCATCACCGCAAACGGTAGCATACCTCCCATTTGGTGAATGAGTTAAAGATTGAGGATAAATTTCAATAGATCCCAATTCTCTTTGCTGTAATGGCAACGATTCTCCATCTTTTAAGCCTTCTGTTGAATTTGGCTTGATAATCGATTGATAGATTTCTGAGTTCTTAGCGTATATCAATTTGTTGTTAGAGTCCATAGAATACAAAGGCTCTTCATTACCCAACTTAATAATAACGTAACCCGAATCACATCCTACAGCTATGACATTGGATTTAGGTAAGATACCAATACACCATACTCTTTCTAAGCCATAGTTAATAGACTTCTCTAACTTAAAAGTATTCGAGTTCCAAAACTTAACAGTACCATCTTCTGAACCTGAAACAATTAAAGGTAATTCAGGGTGGAAAATAGCAAACGAAACGTTAGATAAATGTCCTTCTAAAGTAGCAACACATGACTTGGTTTGATAATCCCAAATCTTAATCGTTTTATCATCAGAAGTGGTTATTAAGTATGGCTTATCGGCTTGTGGGTAGTAATCGACGTAATTTACACCCTTTGATTCATGGGCCATTAAGGTGAAGTTTGGTTGAGATGAGCCTAAAGACCAAATTTTAACAGTTCTATCTAAACATGCAGACGCAAATGTATTAGGATCTTTAGGGTTAAAGTTAACACTCATAACATAATGTTGGTGGCCTTCGAAAATTTGTTCCAATTTCCATGAATTCTCCCAATTCCATAACTTGATAGTTAAATCATCAGAAGATGTCAAAACATATGGCTTCGATGGATGGACAGAGATACTTCTGATGTAGTCTGGGTGTGCCTCGAATTGTGTCACTTTTTCACCAGTATTATAATTGTATACCCTGATTTGAAAATCATCAGATCCAACAATAATCCAATTCTTACGTGCCACGAACTTACCAGTACGAACAGGAAGTTCAGTCACTTGAATAGACTTGACTAATGAATGTGTTGCATATGACCAAATTTCAATTTTACCATTATATAAGGTAGTCAAAATCCATGGCTCTGAAGGATGGAAATCTATTCCTTTCACTCTATCGGAACGAGTAGAAAATTGTTTTACGACGTCCAATTTCATTCTCACAACCTGGATTGGACTAGTATTTCACAAATTTATATTTAATATAGAGCAATTCCAACTCTAGAGAATTAGATTTATTAGATTAATGTTTGTTTAGGTAGCTTTTGTTGTATAAAGTGAACACGCTGACGAGATCAAAAGTTGGATTTTCGTTCGCGCACGACTTTCGTTACTTTTGTACATTTAGTGATAAAGAAACTATATAACATAGGTAGATTTTTTGAAACTAATACACCTTTTCAATACCGGTTCTTCTTTCCTCTCGATACACTCTCTCCAAATTACTTAACAGATTGGAATATTCCACCCATCTTGATGAGAAGACAGCATTGGAAAATTTCTTCAAAACCGACCTTACACCGTTTTCTCTCATTAATTGTAACCTGTCTTCAGAAACCAAGTCCGGGTTTGTCATAAATAACTCATCAAGTAATTTGGCAAGTGTTGGATATGTGCTGACAGAGCCTTTATTGTTACGGTCGGAAAATTGTAAGAACTCCAGGTCAGCGCCTGATTGCAAGTGCAAATCAAAATCGGGATCAGACTTGTCTTTGAAGAAAAATCCCGTATTATTGTACCATGATACATCTGTTGGTTCATTATTCCAATTAGTAACAATATCTAATAATGGTCCAGCCGATGCATGACACAATGGAATAACACCTCGGCTCATATATTCAACTACTCCAATACCAAAATGTTCATTCCACATAGCGTTAAGTCCAAATTTTACCTTTGATAACCATACCATTATGTCTTCATAAGAACAGTCAACGACAAACTCAACATAATCATGTAATTTTAAATCTTCAACCTCTTGTTTCAAGTCTTGAAGAGTTTTGGTGTCATCTGGTGTCCGACAAGAACCAAGGAAAACCAATGTAGGGATGCTCTTTAAAGGAGCACCCAACCTGGTTGCATTGGCAAGAAACTTAAAATATTGGTTCAATATCAAGGAATGACGTTTTTCAGGCCTAAACTGGGCGATAAATAACAACTTATTTTCTCTTTGCCCCAATGTTTCTACATTTTTTGTTAACATTTCAGTGCCACATGGAGGATATAAAATATCCATTTCGTAGCCTGGTTGGTCCTTATTTAATGTCCATATATTTGAAATGTGGTTGAATGTCCAAGACCCATTTGCTAATGTGATGTTCACCAAAGATCCCAAATATTTATAAAAGTAAAACACGCCAGACCAATATATCAATTTCCCAATAGCGAATACATCTGACTTAATTTCGCTTACTTTAGGGACCTTAATTTGGGATAAGCCTTGGAATTTTAACTTATTGAACATTTCTGGCTGAATGATAGGATAATGTACGTAGCTCATGATTGGAATTTTCAACACTAAGCTCACCAACAAGTAGCTTCCAGGTAGACCAATGGTATCAATCCAAATATCAGGGGACAATTCGAACATAGCCTCCCAAGATAATACAATTGATCCAAATAACTGCCCGATCAAAGTGAACAGTTTCCAGTAATCACCATCGATCATACGGGCATACTTGCGCAAATAGATAAACACAATACGATCTTCATCCAAATCGGCAATCTGAAACTTGGTCTCCACCTTATCCAAGATCAGTGAAGGTTCACTCTCGTAATTAGTGGTGTATATGGCCACTATATTGCGGTCGCTGGCAGCCAATGTCGCCTGCACTGCTTGCCACAATACTCTTTCGCCACCGCCGCCATTATTGGCGTATGGATGGAAAAATCCATAGATAATCTTCCTCCGTGGGTCCCGCACTTCACGCTTGGTCATTTCCTCGAGAAACCCACCATCATCGTTTCGCAGATCCACTGGCGCAAACTTGATCTTATTATTCACAAAATTGTTGTAAAACGACGGCTGCTTGCTTGCAAGCACAAGTCGCCGTCTGAAGCTTGATCTTTTATTCCCAACTTTCAAATATCTCGTCATTGACTGCTCAATCTCCTTCTTGATTTTGTCTTGCCAGTTTTGCGATGGAACCAACAACAACCGTGGCAACACCGTCGAAACCACCTGCAATATTCCGAATGCAACAAACCCTATAACTCCTACGACCACTAAGAATGACATATTATATCTAATGTCCTGATATGTATTTTTAACGTACTTAATCTGGCTACACCGATCTCACCACTACGTAGGCATCATCAGATAAGCAATTACTTTCTAGAGGCATGAGAATTGGTCTCACCCCTCAGCGAAAAACATCCTAACATCACGCATTTACTTCCATACACCTAACGATCTTCTAATTCTTTCCCATCCATACATCATCAATTCCATCCGTACATCAGTTTGGCGTTCGATAATCGCCCAATCGGTCGATCTACACTTAGACTTCCCAAAACAGATAAATGATATCTATATGCAGTCCCATATCATCCCTTCTCTACGCGTATAGAAGAACAGAAGACGTGAAAGGGTATTATATATAGAAAAAAGGGTTCATTCTAGTGGAAGTAATTAGAGTAAGCTAGAGATACTGTAAGAGAACTGAGGGAAGAGAGATGCATATGCTTAGGGAAAATAATAATACAGGAAATACATTTGCGGCATCGTCACCCAACGATTCTTCTTCACCGGCAGATGTCGACAATTCTATGAATTCTAATGCTGGTACAGGGGTGAAGCCCAAGACGCCGCTAAAGAAAGAAGAGTTGGAAAAAATTGCTAAACAGTTGAAGAAGAAGCTTTCGAAGGCGACAATAGCGGCGAAACAGTCGTTGTCACCGGCCAATGTTCGGGTGGGAGCGATGCCCAAGTCGAGTCCATTGAAAAATTACAATAAGAATTTTGAGTCGTCACCACATGGAGGAATATTATCATCATCACCTACACACTTGTACTCGCCCAATGGCAAGTCGCCGACACAAATGAAAAGTCTGGCTGCGGTATACTTATCGTCATCGCCGTTGAAGAGGCGGACGAGCGTGTCGAGCGAACTTGCCGACTCGCCAACAAAGAAGAAAGGACCAAGAGAAAATGATAATAAGGAAGAGCGCCAGCCACAGATGGTATTACAAGCAGTAGATGAGACACCACTGACACCACCAAGAAACATGGCCACTTTGAAGCCATCGCCCTCGTTGACTGCTTCCAAGCAACAAAGTACACCTAATTTGCAGAAGAGACGCTCGAGTGTCGGCACTCCAAATGTTCTTTTGCGCACACCTACTCAGACAAGACCCAGCACCAGCGGCGATGGCCAAGACGAAGAAGGTGCTGATCTTTTAATGTATTTAGCTTCGTCACCATCGCCAGCAAAACCATATCTTTCCAATACACCACGTTCCAAGACTGAATTCCATCTGACTAGCCACCACCATGATATACATCCGCCTGCATCAGCACCAAGTTCGAGTGTGTCACATAAAGCACCATCATCATTTATTGTTCCACCACCACCACTCACACCAAAACGTCATATCACAACATCTGCAAAGACCCCTCAAAGTAGGTTAACTCCATCTGTGAACCTTTTCAATAATCTATCGGTCAATAATGGAGGATTACCATCGTCTGGATTGACCTTGACTCCTGCCGGGTTCAACATGAATGATTATGTCAATTTCTTCACACCTTCGCCAGGAAGTGCAAATATGAACTCAAACAGCAATAACCTAAGCAAAGCATTTTTGAAAACCCCGGATTTCAATACAATCATTACTTCCAATAAGCAGAGGGTTGATGGTAAGATGATCAATTTTGATAAGGTGGGTCTATTTGGAAGCAACAATAATGATTCGACAAAAGAATGATTCTTCCATTTATCCATGACTATGTTCAGATTCTATTTTCGATACACATTAACACACTTTTATTGCACGCTTTCCTTGACTGTTGCAGCTCATTTCAGAAGGTACTAACTTGAGTGACTTATAATTTCTATTTTTTCTATGTATAATACTCCGTTCATTTCTATCTAATACATATTTAGTACTAATGTAATATTAGTAAGTAGCGTAATCTACGATGTACGTAAGAGATTTTTCTTATTGATAGCATCAAATAGAAGATGAATACTGTCAGAATAGACAATTGATTATACTACTTAGTATACCCAAACAAAAAAAAAGAAATTACTACACAACTTGAACCAACTCTTAAATTCCACTTAAAGATCCGCCGCTACTTCAATCAACGTACAAATTCTGACATTATAGGAGTATCTAACTCAGTCTATTGCAAAACCTAGCAATTATGTGATCACGTGATTGGGCTTGCAGCAGACTAAAATTTTTGTAAGTCCTCTTTAAGGATATATTTAGCATACCTTTAAGTAAGTTTAATAATGTCTGCTAATTCGCTGAACCCTAGTGAGGTTGCAGAAAAAGTCCAGGACTTGAAAATTGATGATTCAAAAACAAAGATAGATTCAGAGGAACAACCGGAAGCTGAAAGCGATGGTGAAGGTGCTGCTGCTGACAGTACGCAGAAGAAGAAGAAGAAGAAGAAGAGTAAGAAGAAGAAGAAGATCACGGCCATTGATAATCTGTATCCCGATGGAGTTTTCCCCGAAGGTGAATGGCAAGAATATCCGTTAGAAGTTAATAGCTACCGTACTACTTCCGAAGAAAAGAGATATTTAGATAGACAGCAAAATAACCATTGGCAAGACTTCCGTAAAGGTGCGGAGATACATAGAAGGGTCCGTCACAAGGCACAATCTAGTATTAGACCAGGAATGAATATGACTGAAATTGCAGATCTTATTGAAAATTCGGTCAGAAGCTATGCTAACAACGACCACACGTTAAAGGCTGGTATTGGATTCCCAACTGGGTTGTCGTTGAACCATGTTGCTGCTCATTACACCCCAAATGCTGGGGACAAGACAGTCTTAAATTACGAAGATGTCATGAAAGTCGATATTGGGGTTCATGTTAATGGTCATATTGTAGACTCGGCCTTCACATTGACTTTTGATGATAAGTACGACAGTTTATTAAAGGCTGTTAAGGAAGCCACAAATACCGGTGTTAAAGAAGCCGGTATCGATGTCAGATTAAATGATATCGGTGAAGCCATTCAAGAAGTCATGGAATCATACGAAATGGAGTTGAACGGTAAGACGTACCCAATCAAGTGTATCCGTAACTTAAATGGACATAACATTGGTGACTACTTGATTCACTCCGGTAAGACCGTTCCTATCGTTCCCAACGGTGACATGACCAAGATGGAAGAAGGTGAAACTTTCGCTATAGAAACTTTCGGTTCTACCGGTAACGGTTACGTCTTACCACAAGGAGAATGCTCCCACTACGCCAAAAACCCCGATACCGAAAACATCACCGTCCCTGGTGACAAGGCCAAATCATTGTTAAACGTTATCAACGAAAATTTCGGCACTTTGCCTTGGTGTCGTAGATATTTGGACAGATTGGGCCAAGACAAATACTTGTTGGCTTTGAACCAGTTGGTCCGCGCCGGCATTGTCCAAGATTACCCTCCTATCGTCGACGTCAAGGGCAGTTACACTGCCCAGTTCGAGCACACCATCTTATTGCATCCTCATAAAAAGGAAGTTGTTTCTCGTGGTGACGACTATTAATGTTATGCACAGCCTTTTGCATCTTTTCATCGTAATTGTCTACTCAATACACAAACAGACGTTCGACCTACTGTAGAGCCCCTCTCATATCCTGTGCTTTGTCATAAATTATTTCGCTCTTTTCTTCGCCTTTTCCGTTGCCTTCATTAGTCTTACTTCCCCTTGTCTTAATCTGTCAAACTTTCCCCTATTCGTAGTCTACGTCTACAACTACATCTACGATTCCCTCTACCGTCATCTATTATCACACCCTTCTTCCCATGAAAGACTATTGTATTAATTCGTATCCGCTGCATTCATTCTCTCTATCGCCATGTGAATTTACCTGTTTCGACACGTCTAATTGTTGTCTATTATTCTTCTCTTCATGCTTGTCCCCGCTGAAATTTCACCGAATAACGAAATTGACATAGTCGTGTGATTTACCAAAATGGTTTTTATCCTCCATCCTTTAATACAGATAAATAATTCGTGCTGTTAACATAACAACATTTCAATAATCAATCAATTTATTGACGAGCGTTATTATTATTGCAATTGTACATTATGGAAGTTTCACCTAGTGCTTTAGAATTTAAGGGTATGTGGTTTTATGTGTTGAAATTCGTATTGAAGTAAACTAATTGCTACTTGGAATATTGAGACCATTACAGGCCAGATTACTAACGTGTCAAAAATAGGTAGTTTTACCAAACCTACTTCGGAATATTTGTCATTGACTAATACATCTAACACTCCGTTAGCGTTTAAGGTCAAGACGACGGCTCCAAAGTTATACTGTGTCAGACCAAATGCCAGTATTATTGAGCCAGGTAATAGCATCAAGATTTCCATTATTTTACAAGGATTTTCTCAGCCATTGCCGGAAGACTACAAATGTAAGGACAAGTTTTTGTTAGTTTCTTTGCCATGTCCTGATCTCGACGATGCTTCCAAATTGAGCGACTACTGGCCTAGTTTAGAGGCCAAGTACAAGCAACAGTTGGTCCAAAAGAAATTGAGAGTGAATTATGTTATCGGGGAAGATGTGGAAGACAGCGTAGCCGGCGACAACGGAGCTGACTCGCCACGTGAATTCCAACCACAACAAGGTGAATTTGGAAGTGGTGCTGCCGGATCAGATGTTGGTGGATCTGGTGTTGGTGCCGGTGCTGCTGGCGCAGGTGCTCTTGGTGCCGGTGCTCTTGGTGCTGGTGCTGCCTATGCTGGCTCCCACAGCAACAACTATGGTGGTGATGTCCCAGAAGATGTCGGTGCTAATGTAAACAGATCTGTCAACGATTCTTTCGCTCCAAATGCTTCCAACAACGGCTATGCTTCTGGTGCCAACTACAACAGCTCTTCTGATGCTGCTGGTATTGCAGCTGCCTCGAGAGTCGAAAAATCACAACCTCCAGCTGACTACCAAAGAGATTTAGAAGACTCAAACGCTAAAATCAACAACATGTCCGACAAATTCGACTCCAACGAAAAGAGAGCCCAAGGTTCCTCCGACTACACCTCTCAAGCTCAAGCCACATCCACCGAAGAACCTTCCAGTGGAATCTCTTTACCTTTGGCTGTCCTCTTGATTTTGATCGCTTTCCTTATCGGTGTTTTGGTTTTTTAAGTTATTCATAGGCGACGTTTGGTGACGTTTTGTTAATTAAAAAATTTCAATCATGAGTGGAGTTCATGTCTCTACGCCAATACTTTTTTAGTGAATTAACATTACTATCCTTGTATTTATTGTTATATTCCCTTAGTCGTACGCTTCTTCTTTTTTCTTCTACTAGCTTTGTTTTATTTCTATTTCAATGAACATATCTTAAGTCTTCATATATACGGAACTTCTTTTAGATGATAATGTGCACGTGATTGAGTTTATTCGAAGCTAAATATAAATCACCCATAGTACAGACTGACCTATTTAATTTCTTTAGTAGATATCCATTGTATGAACATACAGAGAATCAAAACAATAGGATAGGTTGATATTAGTCACTATGGGTACAGCAAGTATTAAGTCTGGTACCATTAACTTGCTTAACACAATCGTGGGAGCAGGTATTCTTGCCATGCCATTTGGGTTGAAGAGTAATGGGTTATTATTCGGGTGTCTTTTGATTGTCTGGTCGTCGCTTACATCTTCATTTGGGTTGTATTTGCAAAACAAGGTGGCCAAATATACGCAACAACAAGAAGCAGTTTCGTATTTCAGTTTAGCACAATTAACGTATCCACAATTGTCGATAATCTTTGATAGCGCAATCGCGATTAAATGCTTTGGGGTTGGAGTTAGTTATTTGGTAGTCATTGGTGATTTGATGCCAAAAATAATGGAGAGTTTACATGTTAGTAATGATAGTTTGTTGATGGCCAGAAATTTGTGGATTACTGTTTTTATGGTGTGCATAGTTATTCCGTTCTCTTATTTGAAGAAATTAGATTCGTTGAAATACACATCGGTCGTGGCATTATTTTCGGTGGTGTATTTGATTTGTCTTGTTGTATCACATTTTGTTGTTAGGGATATTCCTGTGGAGAGCATTAAGGTTGACTGGGTAGGGCCGGTGTCTGTGAAGTCTACATTGGCATCGTTCCCTATATTTGTGTTCGCATATACGTGCCACCAAAACATGTTTGCTATTATCAACGAATTAAAACCTAATGAAAAAGAGGGTTCACAAACAAGACAATCGAATGTTATCATTAGAAATGCCATTTTGACTGCTTGTATTTCATATTTGATTGTTGGAGTTGCTGGTTATTTGACCTTCGGTAAATCTGTGGGGGGTAACATCATCAGTATGTACCCTAAGGACTCAATCCTGTCCTTAATTGGAAGATTATGCATTGTTATTATGGTGAGTTTATCATACCCCTTGCAATGCCATCCATGTAGAGGATCGATTAACCATGTCATTTTTTTTATCAAGAATGGGTTTAAGGCAAACCTGAAGGCTAAACGTTCAGGAAATGCTCCAGAGTATACATCTTTAGCGTCCGATGCTGAATCGCAGTCTGATTCTCAGGTTGAATCCCTTGCTGACGAAACTTTTATTTCCACAACTCCAGTAGAGGGTGCACAAGATTCAGACGGTCATTATCCAATTGTTGTAAAGTTGTCGTCGAAAATGTTTTACATTATCACGACATCAATCCTTGTTTTATCATACCTTGTGGCGATTACCGTCACATCATTGGAACATGTGTTAGCATTTGTTGGATCAACAGGGTCAACCTCAATTTCATTCATATTACCAGGATTATTTGGATACTTGTTGATTAAACCAATCAATGGAGCCACCGAATTGGACAGAGTTGAGCGTATCTGCAAATTCGGAGGATTAGCATTAGCCATATGGGGTGTAACAGTCATGTTTGTATGCTTAGGTGCAACGATATTTTTAGGTGCCAAGGAATAGACCTTATAGATTATAAGTAGTAAATTAATTTATTTAATTATTATATTCGTAAACGTGTAACTAAATCATAAAGCTAAATCATAAAGCAAGTGTCAAGCTATATACATGTCATTTAAAGAATTAAATCATCACGATCCCAACCAGTACCTTTGTGAGTTTCTAATCCATTGGTTGGTTGCTTCTTATCCGTATCTTTTATCTGTAATGCAAATGGGTTTCTGTCACCCTTCTGATTCAAGTTGGCCAATGTATGGTTGACTTCTCTGTGCTTAGCTTCGTCAGCCCGAATTCTCAATATCAAATCGGTAAAAGTGGACTTTTCATCCAATTCTGGCCAGTATTGCCAACTAATAGCTGGAATCTGAATATTGTCAAACTCTTTCAACTTACCCATCTTTAATTCATTCAATAAATGGGTATATGTACTAACCGCCTCTTCTTCCAAATAACCAACAAATCTATGGCAGTATCTAGGGTTGATTAAGTAGCACATGAAAAACAAATTACAAAATACACCCTGGCCGATGTAAATAATCGATCTGGTGAACCACGAGGGTCTACCAAGCTTAATGAACGTCAACAAGTGCATTCTTTCGTTGTAAGCTTCGTCTAACAAAGTTTCAATCCATGCCTTGTCTCTCCTTAAAAGACGGAGCGAATGCAAATGTCTAATGAACGCAGCAACCATTCCCGGAACACCAGCAATGCTCTCCAAAAATATACATCTAGTTAACCACTTGGGTTCTGTCATCTCATATCTAGTACCCTTGAACCCATGCTCTTCTTCTTTTTCATTCCTAGGTTTTTTGTATCCCGTCACAAAGTCAAATGATCCCCTGACAAGCTGGATCCCCTTAAACGCAATCCTATCTCCACGAGATTGGGGTTCTCTGTGTTCAACCTGCACTCTTTCACATTCCTCCCCCTTGAACACTGGATGTGGAAATAATGGATGAGTAATGAACTCTTTATCATCATGTTTTTCTCTGTCAGAGTCCTTAATCAAAGTGGTGGAAATCTTGAAAGGACTCTGTTTAGCTGATGTACCTGGAATCGACGAATTGAACCTCACGGATCCAATTGCACACGGAATTGTACTACGTACAAAAGTTCTCTGTAATGTCAACATTTTTCACTGACTGAAATTTGTGTCTACCGAAAGTAAGTTCTAGTAGAATATAAATAAAGTTGCGGTTTAAGTACTCTTTTCACCTTTTGGGCTTTGAGCGTTTTGTGTTTCTAATGTCCTCCTATTTTATTTAACAAGTACTTTCCACTCGGCTTTTATATACTCTACAAGTGTATGTTATTTTTACCCACTTCCACACAACCGTTAAAGTCCGTACGTCCAGTATGTTGGTATGACTGTCACATACAACGAAATAATCAGCTCTCCCTGTCCTTTCCTGTTGCAGCCGTTGTGCGTGACGAAGCCCCGCACGGCCGTACTTGCTAATATTAATTACTATGGTACAATTGGAATTATACCACCGTACTGTGTGTCTCCATAACTCCGAAACCTCCGATGCACACATATCCAACGGTCCAAGTTCCGTACCAAATCCCATTCGTTATACACGTAGTAAATACTATCCTTAGATCCGCAGCTGGAGCTTCAGCCAGATCGCTCAAAGACATTACGACGCTCGTATAAATTTTCGGTTCAAACTCCTTTACTATGTCCCTACGAATGCCAAGTTTATTGTGTCTCGAATGTAATCTTCATCGCATAGTTCTTTTCTGCAAGATATCGGTGACCCTTTTACCTTTGGCTTGATTTACATTGGCTGGAGGTAAAATACCGCGCTCTTAAATGTTCCGCGAGCAAATTAATTATCCCTTAGCGCACTCTAAGCTCGAACTGCCCTTGTACCCCTAATATCTGAGACTGTTCTAAAACCCGTTATTCTCCGATCCCTACACCTTCTCAAAATCCGTGCTCCTGAAGTGCTCCAGGACCCTGCCAATCTGTCGGGTCGCAAAAACAAGTCTAGACTTGAACCGTCCAGATCGGCTAAAAGCGCGTATAATAAAATACACGCTTTTTAAGCGGCCTACAATTGTGTAGTTATTATGGTACATAAAAAATTTAGTGGATCTAATATTGATCTGAATATTTTTGTTTAGATTTGGATTAAAATATCAGATTTTATTCACTTTTTTTGGGTTATTCTAGCAGCAGGTAACAGCAGGTTATTGGTATTTTGATAAACTAAGCTTGGTGGTAATTGTATAAACATATTTTGCTTGAAAAACATATATTTGCTAAAACACTCGCTTTTAATTGTACATCGGCAACAACAATCAAAGGAATAGTCTAAGAAATATCCAAAGGTAGAAAACAAGTAAAAAATGTCTTTCAGCATATCGAATTTTATTGGTGACCCATTTGCTATATCTACGATCTCGTTTGGGTTGATAGCATGGATCATTTCCATAGCAGGGGCCGGAGCATCTAATCAAAGCAATTTTCCCCATTTCAGTTGGTGGGGCATAATGTACCAGTTGGTGATAATGGTGGTGATTACGGTGTTGTACTTGTATAACACTATCGAGTTATACAAGTTTACGTTGGTGGGATTGTTGTCGATTGCGTTTGTATATTCGACCAACTCGACCAACAACTTGATATACAAGACGGGAGACTCGGGAATGTTGTGTTGTGCAGCAGGATGCATTTTGTTGTCGATGTTGAACTTGATCTGGATCTTATACTTCGGGGGACATCCAGAATCACCTACAAACCAGTTCATCGACTCATTCTCGTTGAAAACACATTCGCACAACCACGGCCATTTGCCTTCATCTGATAACAAGGCTGTTGATGGAGACATAGATGACGAGGTAGAATACAAGAGGTACGCCTCATCTCATTCAAATACCCAGTTCCAAGACAACAATTTGAGACAGTCGCAACTCACTACAAATAACAAGTCGGTCAATACCCCATACATGTCCTCGTCACAATTGAATGGCTTGGAGAACTTTTCTTCATCTGACGTACACCAGAGCAGAGACTTGACCAGTAACAAAAGACAGACTGTTTATAACGATACGAACTCTGTCAATGATACCGGTAATGTATTCAGGTATAAGGCTAAGGCTTTATACAGCTACGATGCCAATCCAGAAGATATCAATGAAATTTCCTTTGTCAAAGACGAAATCTTGGAGGTTGATGATATTGATGGTAAATGGTGGCAAGCAAAAAGATCAAATGGACAAGTTGGTATTTGTCCATCAAATTATGTGAAGTTAATGGATTAGGTTTTATTTTTTTTGTCGCTCTTTCTCGAATATTATGGTTTATTCTAGTGTAATTTTAAAATAATATTTTATTTAATATCGAAGCTGTAGTATAACTAAGTTCTTAACTAGTCAGAGGAGAAGTTTTAGGTTCGGTTGGTGAATGTTGTCGAATAAGAGCGCATATATTCAAATACATACTAATCATTTTCTTACCTTTAGAGCAGCATAACTTCCCAACCTAAATACAAATATTAATACAATTAATATTCCGATCCAAAGGCCCTTGTCGTTGTTGGAATAGCCTAGATTCTCTAATACTGCCGTGCCTGCAATCTTACATTGACTAGACAAACTTGACTCATATAAGCAGTGACAGTTTGAGTCACAATCAAATATACGATGTTCAAACTCGTTGAACATCATTCCTTGAAATACATATCTTTGGTAATTAATCCAATAGAAAGTGTAATACCAGAAATCGTTCAAAATTTTGCTACTAACCAAAAAGCCTCCAACTGACATCCATAGCCCATTTGCAAATGCTGTCAATGCCAAGGATACGACAAAGTTCGGGAAAATAGAAGCAATGAACACAGTCATCGATTCAGCAGCAAGCAAATCAAGGAATAGCCACATAACATAGTAACCAAAGCCTTTTGAGCTATCATGGAAGTGACACATAAAGTAAGTGACTATGCTGAATAATAAAGCTATAATGAATAAAAATGGAACACCAATAATGAAATTTGATAAAACAAATGAAAAAGGTCCATAATTTCCATTCATCTTTTCTTTCTTATAGCTATTGTAATCTTCAATAAAAGAGGGTATGTATGCAACTGACATAAATGACATAAAAGCACCAGAAAAAAAGATGGCATTAGTAAAGGGCTGGATATTGTCTTGGTTATTATTCAATCTTAGCCATACTGTTCCCATCAAGACTGCTAGGCCTAAGTACATAATAATTCTTACATAGTATGCCAAAACATCTCGTCTTGATTTGATTAGCAATCTTTGTAACAAAATACGTGTACGGTTACTTTCTCTGACAAGAATATTCTTAAATCTAATGCAAGGTAACAAGAATTCATTTTTTTCCTTCAGTGTTGCTTTCTCTGATTGAAAATCTGAATAGTTTTCATCAACTTGTTGTGCCTTTTGGCGTTCTTCAACTTTGCGCCATTTGTTAACTAAATCATTTACAATCAATTCCTTGTCACCTATAGTTGACTCTTCGTCATTAGTGATACTATTGGAAAAATCTGTGTTGATAAGGTCTAAAATAAATTCCGAAGGATTGTAATATCTAGGAATTTCATAATGAATCGATTTAAAATAATCAGGGATCTCTGAAACTCTACCGTTATAAATAGGCATACCTTTCGACAAAAACATAACTTTGTCAAACAATTGGAAGGTGAAAGTAGAAGGTTGGTGAATTGATGCGATTACAATTATCCCTTCACTAATTGCGATCTTTTTCAAGGTATTAATGACTTCTCTAGAGGCAACTGAGTCTAACCCTGACGTAGGCTCGTCCAAAAATAGTATTTGCGGTTTTCCTAATACTTGTGACGCAATGCTTGTTCTTCTCTTTTGTCCACCTGAGATTCCCTTCTGCAATGGTGTCCCAATTTTCAAATTTTTTTGATTCTCTAAGCCCAAAAGACTAATGATCTCATTCACTAGATCACCTCTGTGTCTTTTTGGAATATTTGCAAATTTAGCACTAAATTCCACTGTTTCTTTGACTGTTAAAGAGCCTACTAACGAATCTTCTTGTTCCACATAGTTGGAAACTTCTTTTAAATCTGCCAGTGTGGCGACTTCGTTGTTAATTAATATATCCCCAGTATGTCTTGAAGACTTGGGATTACTTCTATTTGATAACCTATTCAATAAAGTAGTCTTTCCTGATCCTGACGGACCCATAAGTGCCATGATTTCCCCAGGCTTCATCAGTCCACTCACATTATCCAACAAGCACACCTCTTCTTCATTCCTCTTTGCGGGAAGATACAACGATACTTCTGACCATTCGAAAGATTTAACCTTCATTGGGTTACTTATGGATATCATTACTTAGTTATGTAAAGATATCTTCAATTTATTGCAGCTTCGAATTTTTCAAACTATTGCATCAAATTTATAGAATTTCTTACGGCCGAAAGAACTTTTTCATGGCTAGGTCATCGCAAAGAGTTCTATTGTCACCTGAAAGTATTGTCCATTTGATTTATCGATCTAATCCATTTCAATTATGTCTTCATGTGTTTAAATCTATTAATATTGTATCATACTATGTATTCTGTACTCCGTGTGTTAAACTATTTGATTTTATTGGTAAATTTTAGAACCGTCTCGCTAAAAAATCGCTAAAGATTCTCACGTTTCTGGATCTCAAATCTATAAGAAACTATCTATTCTTTGGTCTGACAATAAGATAGTCTGTTACGTAAACATGTTAGTTAGACCTACTTCTCTATTCACAAGTTTGAAAATCCTTCCTCGGGTGAATAAACCAACTAGTTGGTTAGGTTTTAAGAACTACTCAACCAAATCAAATATTCATTACGATGGAACTCAATCTTCTTATGCAAGCAACCCTGCTTCTTATTTGGGGGATGCTTTAGCTACCGATGGATCCATTGAGACTGTTGATCTTGTCTATGACAAGCACTCGCCTCAAGAGGAGCCATCAGTTACTAAGTCCCCATTAATTATATTGCATGGGTTATTTGGATCCAAAATTAATAATAGAACAGTAGCTAAAAAGTTGGCCACAAGACTTGAAAGAGATGTTTATTGCTTGGATTTGCGTAACTTCGGGCAATCGCCTCATATAAATAGGTTGGATTACCCTTCTTTATCTGCTGATGTTGAAAATTTTATTGAACAAGCTAAGTTCCCTGAAAGTGCTAAACCTATTATAATAGGTCATTCTATGGGAGCTAAAACTGTCATGGCTTTGGCATTGCGCCGTCCTGATTTGCCAAAGATGGTTGTCTCCGTAGACAATGCTCCTGTTGATTTAACCATGAATTCAGTTTCATCCTTCGCTAAATACGTTAGACAATTAAGAATTGCATTGGAACAATATAAATATACCAACATAAAAGATGTTGATGCTCAATTAGCAAAGGTTGAACCTTCGAAAGAAGTTCGTCAATTTTTAATAACTAATCTTCATAGAGGTAAGACTAATGATGTTATTACATCAAAAGTCCCATTAGAAATTATAAATAAAGCCATAACTGGAGGGTATATTTCTGGCTGGCCCTACGATCTGAATGTTTCTAGATGGTCAAAGGGACCTATGCTAGTTATAAGAGGAACTCAATCATCGTATGTTCCCGACGAAATCATTCCTGATATCGGAAAGTATTTCCCTAATTTTGATGTTAGAGACGTTGACTCTGGTCACTGGGTGATTAGTGAAAAGCCAACCGAATTTATGGAAATATTAGTTGATTTTATTGAAAAGAACGAAGATGAAGAGTTCTGATATGTACATTATATATCTATAAATCACTGACTTTTACACCTCCTTTACCAACAAAATCGTCGTAAACATCAAACTTTCTTTGATAATGCACTGGTATTCCCTCTCTAACTTTAGGTAACAAATCCTTGTCTAAAGTAGCGAATAAAATTTCTTCTCCTTCTCCAGCCTCAGCAACAATTGCACCATATGGATCTACAACTAATGAATGGCCATATGCTTGATATCCATTACCACCGACGTCTCTAGCAGGGCTGCATAAAACGCTAAACATTTCATTGTCCACTGCTCTGGCCTTTGCCAATAAGTGCCAGTGTAATGGCCCAGTGGTAGTATTGAAGGCACCTGGATAAAACATAGCAAAAGAATTATATGGATTACGAGATGCAATCATGGCTAATTCGGGGAATCTGATATCGTAACAAATACCTAAACCTACATTACCAAATTCACCTAATTTAAAAACAGTGGCCTTGTCTCCAGCACTTAAAGTTACCAGCTCTTTAAAAGTGATTCCTCCAGGGATATCAATATCAAATAAATGAACTTTTCGGTGCTTAGCAATAATTTCTCCTTCGGGTGAAAAAGTCAATGAAGTATTGAAAATCTTATCATTTTCTTGATCTAATTCTGGAATTGATCCTCCAACAATGAAAATGCCGTGCTTCTTTGCCAATGATGATAACAATTTGGTGGTTTCACCAGATGGTATCAATTCAGCATAATTACGAAACTGGTCAACGGCGTATGGCGAGTTAAAACATTCCGGTAATACTACTAAATGTAATTTTCCAATGCTACTCGTCTTGACGGCCGAGTCAATAAATTTGGTTACCTTCAACAAATTTGCTGCTTTATCGGCACCTGCCTTTAATTGAATAAGGGCTATATTCAACGATTGTTTTAATGGTGATTTTAATACAGAATTACTCATGCTATAATGGTATAAGGCCCCTTAGTTACTTCTTAATGTTGATAACCATGGGCCCCTTTTTATATCGCATTTCTGAAGTCACGTTACTTGTTGCACATAAATTGAAATCTATACTATCAATGTATACACTCTATATTATTAAATATTATGATCAAGGAATCGACGAAAGGGCAGATTTTTCTGATTTACGAAGGTGGATTCTCTCTTTGTATTGTTTTAAAATGAAAATCAAAGAAAGGATTACTCCACAGCCCGCTAATCCCATCCCCATGTAAAAGGCTACTCTAAAACCATGGATTTTTGAGTCCAAAGTATCTGGAAGATTCCTGGTCTGATAGTACTCAACGGTACCAGCAAATCCTAAACCAATGGAGATCGCATAATTCTGAAATGTTGCAACCAATGAGGCAGCTATACCCTGTTGGGATTTTGGAAGACTATTTGACAATATAACGGTTCCAGCTGGAAAACTCATATCCATACCGAAACTTTGTATTATCAAAGAAAAGAACTTTTGGGTCCAGTAGATTTGACCAACAGGCCTTGTACCCATTAGTATGATTCCAATCAAGAAGAACAACATAGCAAAATGCATAACGATTGACAGTGGAAGCTTTTGTAATAATACCGCAGTCAAAGCAGCAGCAACGTACCCCACAATAGCTGCGGGAACAAAATGAACACCTCCTATTATTGGTGATTGGTTATCAACAAATTCATTCCATTGGAAAGTATAATATAACCAAACCCCAAAACACGACCACCCTGCAGCAATGCAACCTAAAACAAATCCCGTCTCACCCTTTAACGCAACAGATGGAATTAGAGGATCTTTAGCCTTACTTTCTGCCACAAAAAATAAGCCTATCAGTATAAATCCAACTATCAATAAGATGTAGACATATGCCTTGTCCCATCCTACATTAGGTCCCTGATTCCATGCAAAATTGATTAAAACGAGTCCACATACACCAAAGAGAGAACCAAACCAATCAAAAGTATCTTCCTCTCTTTCTGAATCAAAATTACCAATATTTTGAGGGATGGCAAAGTATCCGAGTACTGATACTAAAACACATGCTATTCCTAACAAAAAGTAGCCTAGGAAGACTCCAGGAAGCGCCATTGTGTCTACCAACTCAGCTACTAATCCGCTGAAAAGTGCACCCAACATAAACCCTGTAGGTGCCACACTTCCATACAAGCACATGCAGAGATCTTTCTTGAAACCTTTTGGATAGTAATGTCCAATTAATGCCATAGCATTAGGTATAGATAAAGCCGGGCCTATTCCCTGCATTGCCCTAGCCACATCAAAAAAAATCTGAGAGGTTGTAAACCCAGAAAACCCGGCCACCAAAGACCATACTGCAAACCAAGCAAACCCTATTAAATAAATCTTCTTATACCCGTACATATCTCCTAATCTTCCCGCAATCAAAATGAATGTACCAACTGTAAGCGAATATGATGCTGTGAACCAAGATTTTTCTCCATTCAGATCTTCGACCCCAAATGTTTTTGCAATAGCTGTAGATGGATTAGTGGTCTGTGCTACACCTGCTTGGGTTAGCATCTGTTGTACTGCCACACAAAACAAAAATAATATTTCTCTTATAACTGATATTTCTTCAGGTGGTGGGGTTGGTTTAAGAGTATTCAAAGATGATTTTATTTCCAGGATCTCATCCTCTTCAATATATTTTGAGCCTTGTGAGACATCTCTATTAGCATCTTGTGAGTTTTTTCTACTTGAACTTTCCATTATAGGTTTAGTTATCATAAAGACTCCTGATTATAGATTTGTCTGGACATTTATATATATATATATATAGTTGTATGTACATTGATTAAAAAGATACCAATCGGATCGAGATTTCCATATGTTTCCGAGAATAAATTGTTTAGTAAGAGCAAGAATATCGCGGAAATAAGATATTTCAGCCATTCCTACCCCATCGAAGGCGCGTATGCGGAAAAGTGATTTTTCCGTTACGTGATATGTCAAAATCTATCATTCTATATATATTAATTAAATTACAATCCTATGTCTTTACCAATGCAGGAAATAGCTGAAGAGTCCAATTGTGCAGTCCGCTTTATACATTTACTACCAGATTTTCTGGAAACTGAGTGGTTTCTTTTAACCATTTTAAATGGGGAATGAAAACTTGTTCGCATCTTTGTCTTTCAAGCTCTTCTTCCGAAGATACATAATGCAAGTACTTCCCCATATACTCTTTATTTCTGTAGATATCTTCTCCATCAATAGCCTTTCCCGTTGTTGAATCGTAATAGTTTGGACACATTCCTTGCGTAAAGAACTGCAATACTCTCAAATCGAAATCATAGCCCACATTCTCATTTATAGAACTATACATACGAATATGTTTTCCCAGGTTCTCATAGATCAAGTCATGGTTATCCACTAACCAGTTAGGATAATACTTAGGATAGGATAAATGATTAAAGACAACATCGAGATTTTCTTGTTTTACGGCCGAAAGAACTGGATCGTAGTGGCTCAAGGCTTTGGATGCGAATTTATTATCCGCTTCTGACACGTACCCCGTAAATTGGAATTGCTTCAACGTCTGAAACCAGGGTTCATTCATAACGTGAGCAGCAGCAATAAACGTTTCCTTATCGCCTTCTCCTGCCGATCCTTGGGTTAATAACGGATAATAATAGTTAGGCCCAAAAACATTATAATACAAGCTTAAAAGTAATGTTCTCATATGAGAAGTTTTGTTAATAACAAACATACCAGTTTCGGAGGTTGGGTTAGGTATGGTTCCTTCAAAATCGTGGAAATGTGAATTTTCAAAATTGTACTCAGATAAGGGTTTGACGCCCGATAAGCCTTCTCGTTCTGCTTGTTTTCTGTCATAGTCCGAATACCTGACTTTATTTTCTTTAACCTCCACGCCTGCAATCTCATAGAACTTTGGATTAGCAGTACGACCCCAAGCATCAGGCCATAAAATCAAATTCTTTTCTTTATATAAGTCACTCTCCAATATATAATCGACATTTTTAGCTGGGAAATTGTCGGAGTCGACATACATGACATTTTCAAATCTGGAACTCAATATAGCCAACATCTTGTACTGGTATCCACCAAGATCGAATCTTTCCTTCAAGTTAGTTGACAATGATGAATCAAAAAGATTACAATGCGCATTATAACGTGGTAACAATTCTTCACAGAAGTCCTTTTCATACTCATCATGAGAAGCAATGAACAACTCAATGGGCATTTTAGATCCTGTGGCTCTGATCTGTTTGATTACAAGGTACGATAACCAGTTAAATCTACCTCCTCCAACCATCACGTATCCTGAAGACCCCTGATATGTTCCCCATTCAGGATCCGATTTCAATATATTTCCAAACGTAGAAATACCGTAGTTTTCAATAAGCTTGTTCATATGAATGTCCACGTATCTGGAATGCGAATCCTTTAACTCTTGATACGTAGAATGAGGTATATCCAATACATTCTCCAATAATGACTTGGATAAAAGAAAATCGTCATTCTCATTTTTGATTTCTGGTGCTTTTTCATTCTTGTACTTGTCTTTGATCGATGGAGATTTCGGCATGTATGCTTCTAACCCATCAAAAAATGCAGTGTAATCTCTGATAGATTTCAAATTAGCCTTCTCCTTGCCAATTTCTCCTTGAGCTTCAAGTGAGTCTGCGGCCGGTATAGCCCCAGTACGAACATCACTATCTATTAATGGCTTTGAAGATGAACGATAAAAAAAGTGTATAACAAGCAAGCAAAATATCACGACTACCAAAAGACGCGTCGTCTGACGTCCAAGTAATCTCGTAGGTGTAGGTATCATTATATACTATTATTATACCTTTATCCCGCTTTTGATACGGGCTTTAAAACAGTTTTCGATTATCTTTTACGTGGTTCGCCGTAATTGCTTCTTTTCAACCTTCCCTTTTTGTGGCATTTTCCTTGTGAAATCTGGAGGAAGATCCCTACATCTGGATAACATCCATACCTTTTTTTATTTATAATTCCGGTCGCGGGTAATACTTTTTCCTAGTATTCAAAAAAATTACTCCACAAGAACTAAAGGAATCGACGGTATAAATAGGACAGAAAGATAGAAGTAGGAATTCTTAAGGATATTATATAGAAGATCAATTGGAAATAATGGCTAGTAACTCACCAATTTTAGAAAAAACCAATTTTGAAGAATTAAGAACCAAAAACTTTATATTCAGACTCTTCGGGCTTCATATTAGCCACTCTAAATCGCCATTATTGCAAAACTATTTATTTGGTAAATCAGGATTGAGTTGGAGATATGAATTGTATGAGAGCTCTGATATTGATGCCTTCAAGAAGGTGTTACAAGGTGACGACTGCATCGGATCAGCTGTGACTATGCCAAACAAGGTGGTGATGACGGAGCACGTTGATTTTGTCGACAACGATGCCAAAGCAGTTGGTGCTATTAATACGATTTATACCAGAAAGGAGAAAGACACCGGTAAGACATTGTATATCGGTACCAATACTGATACGTACGGAATCCGTGATTCATTCTTGTACAATGCACCAGAAGTGGTGGAGAAATCGAAAAAAAGCGACAAACCAGGATTGGTTTACGGTGGAGGTGGTGCATGCCGTTCTGCAGTGTATGCATTAAACGAATTTTTGGGATGTTCGAAGGTTTATGTGATTAATAGATTTGCTCTGGAAGTGGAAGCTGTAAGAGAAGGAATGGTCAAGGGAGGTTTCAAGGGAGAAATCGTTCATGTTTCCACTCCTGAGCAAGCTGCATCTTTAGAGAAGCCAAACTTGATTGTTTGTACTGTTCCTGATTTTGCACCCCTGACTGACGAGGAAAAAACAGCCAGAGAAACTTTGGAGGTGTTTATTGGCTCTCAGGATAAAGGCGCTGTTTTAGAAATGTGCTACCACCCTAAACCACTCACCAGATTATACAATGAATTCAAAGCAGCCAAGTGGCAGGTTATTGGTGGTATGGAAGCAATGATATATCAAGGTTTTGCCCAACAATCCTTGTGGACTGGTTACAGTTTAGAAGAAATGCCTGTTAAAGACGTAGTTGACTATGTCTATAAGAATGCAAATAACTAAGTATATGTATGTATATATATATATATTTATATATATCCCTTAATAGTAAAACTAATTATTACATTCTAGAAAGGATTATTGGAAATACTTTTTTCGTTTCTATGCCGCATTACTGTTGCACCAGTGTTCCCTTTCAGGTTGTGATCAACGGTTGACTCCAAACCACGCTATTTAAACTTGCTCTATTAGGACCTACGAATATATATAACAGTGTATCGGAGTTTAATGCAATATATTATATAAGAAGATATATAAATCCTTGATAACCTAATAATTATCGATATCAATTGATTAATTCAGTGCTTGCTCACAGAAAATAAATTTACAAATTTGACTATCAAACCACTCTCAAGTTTGTATTCAACGAGTGATTATTATGTACAAGAATAAGTCCAATATACCATTGAAATATTCGACTATTATGACTAAAAGACTTATGCATAACCAAAAATTAGCTGAACTTCCAAAAACAACTAGCTTTACTAAACACATTAGTCCTGATGGCAGAATTCCAAAGCCCGAAGATGCTATAGCAAATAAGGATAATATCATACATGTTCCAAGAGTGTTACAAAAAGGAGGATTTTCCTGGACTCTTCCAGAAAAGAGAAAAAAATATAAGTATTTAACTACAAGTGCTAAAGCATTGGAAGATTTAGGGATAGACTCTCTGGAGGTTGATAATCCCGAGTACCAAAAATTAGTCAGTGGTGAATTCTACCTTGAGAATGAAGACTTCCAAGAAAAGGGATATCCATTTCCATACTCACAAGCATATGCTGGGTGGCAATTTGGACAATTTGCCGGTCAATTAGGAGATGGAAGAGTTGTGAATTTGTTTGAAGTTCCCAAGAATGTGAAGGACAAGACCAACAGACACAAATATGAATTGCAATTAAAAGGAGCTGGAATGACTCCATATTCTAGGTTTGCTGATGGTAAGGCGGTCATAAGATCGTCGATTCGAGAATATATTATATCTGAGCATTTAAATGCTGTGGGTATTCCAACGACAAGGGCTTTATCATTATCATATCTTCCTGAGACCTTTGCGCAACGTCATAGGGCAGAAAAATGTGCAATTGTTTCAAGATTTGCTGAGCTGTGGGTGAGATTAGGTACGTTTGACCTTTATAGGTGGAGAAGTGATAGAAATGGTATAAAGGAATTATCCGATTACGTTATAAATGAATTATTCACAATTGATGGTGAAAAATTCGGTTTCTTAAATAAGATTCTAGCAGAAAGAGATGATTTTTTTGATAATAGTAAAGAAACTATCGGAGATCTTACAGATTATGACAAAATGTATTTGGAGACTATTGTAAGGAATGCATCTACCACTGCCATTTGGCAATCTTACGGCTTTTTGAACGGTGTATTGAATACTGATAACACATCAGTCCTTGGCCTTGCCATTGATTTTGGACCTTTTTCAATAATGGATAAGTTCGATCCAAACTATACTCCAAATTCGGAAGATCATGAACTTAGATATAGTTACCGTAACACCCCTACCGCAATTTGGTGGAATTTAACTAGAATGGGTGAAAACCTTGCAGAATTAATTGGGGCTGGGCCTGAGATATTAAATGACCAATTTTTTAAGGAAAATGGTATCAAAAATGAATGGGAAGATAGAATTATTACAAGAGCAACAAAGGTAATTGAAGCAGGTGGTGAACTTTATCAGTATGCATTTACCAAAAAGCATGTTGAAACTATTTTCAAAAGATTAGGCTTAGATTCATCTTTGATAAACGTCAAAGATCCTGAAGTCAATTACAAGGAATTGATAGATCCCATGTTAGATATGTTGCATAAGGTACAGTGCGATTTCAACAAGTTTTTCCTTATATTACAAAGCTCCGATTTAGAAGAAGGTTATGATGCAAAGCAAATCGCAGAATCCATTCTTTTGCCTGGCCATAATGCTTCAGAAAGCAAGTATTCTACTCAAGAATTGATTGATCAAATTTGTAATTGGTTAAAGATTTACGATGGCTATATACTAAAATCAGGTAACTCCAAACGGAAATCGATTAGCAAATATTCTAACCCACTATTTTTACCACGTAATTGGATTTTGAATCAAGTCATTGAATTTACAGAAGATACCAATGCTGAAGACTTGTCGTACTTGAAAAAGCTTGAAAAGATGTGCTTCAATCCATACGATAAATCAAAATGGGGAAATGAATTGAAAGAATTAGAGCAAGAGTGGTTGTTGCAAAGTGATATAGGTACCAATTACTCAATGCTTCAATGTAGCTGTTCCAGTTAGAGCTAATTATTATATAGTTTAATAAATGCGTTATGTTTTGCCATGGCTACAACATCACATGTTCTAATGTCCTAGCTACTCAATGTAAATTGCTCCACGGAGAACTAGAACTAATATATACATGTATTGCATTAACAACAAAATTAGCTTACAAATTAATAACGAGTAATAATAAATTTCACAATTATAATTTTTAAAAAATAGAACTAATACTTTATATAGAACTTAACACTTAAATGCAGATCATTTTATTTGATTTAACCACGGAAGGCGCTTTGAGCATCCTTGTAACCCTTGTGGAAAGCTTCCTTTGCTTGTTCTTGAACTGGTTCATCTAAGGAAGCAATCTTGGAGTCAAGCTTGTCATTACCAGTGGTGAAACCACCAAGGCCGGAACCAGAACCGGAACCAGTGCTCTTGGATTGACCGTAACCAGAGCTACCTGATTGACCTGATTGACCGTAGCCAGAGCTGCCTGATTGACCGTAGGAATCAGTGTTAGAAGAACCGTGTTTAGATGCACCGTATCCTGCAGCACCACCAAGGCCAGCACCAGCGGCACCAGCAGCAGCTTCTCTACCGTGGGAACCAGAACTGTGAGTGTTAGAACCGTAAGTATCATTACCTGAGGAACCGTAAGCATCTCTACCAGAAGTAGTACCTGAAGTACCGTGGGTACCAGAAGAGCCATAAGCATCTCTACCGGAAGTAGTA